TTGGATTTTAATGGGTTCGTTGTTGTTTTTGTTGTTGCATCTTTACATTATATTTTAGCTTGTTTGTTTGATTCACTAGAATGGTTTTTGTTGGATTATATAAATATAGCAATTGTGGCTTATCCGAGAGTTGTTTTAGCACCAATGTAAGAGATGATCTGCTAACTATTTTTTGTATACTGGTATATAGTTTTGATTATTATTCTCTTGCATTTGTCAACCAAGCAAGCATTTGTAGTTCCCTTTCTCTCTTAATAATTTAAAGTAGATGTTTTACACAGCTACACTCCTACTGTATTTAGTAACTGCCTTGTGTTTATTGACATAAAGGTATAGTTTTGAAAGACGTCACGGAATGCAATGTAATCAACTGCATATGTGATTGAAATTTATAGAAGAAATATGCTCTTTTCGGCCCTCCAAAAGAGAGTCATACATCACTATTGATTTAAGTGTTACATATGAAGTTCTATTCTTTTGGGACAGAGTTAGTACTCTATTTGTTTTACTTTCATTTCATGCTATGTTGTACCACCAAAGTACCCCTAAGAGCTCATACTTTAGTAAAGATTGTGGGAAAAAAATATTTGCACTTCTATGTGATAAGCAGTTATCATTTTGAATTTAAGCAGCCATCTCTATGCTATGATTGGAATGCGTAAAATTGGTAGGGAAATGAAAACGTGCTAATGACCACGGTTTTTTTCAATGTGTGGTTCAAACGTGGAATTTATGAAAGAAAAACAAAATTTCAAAAGCTTTAATAATTTTTTTTTAAGATTTATACTCCTTGGTCTTTTGGTTAGGGGTAAGGTCTACGTACACACATCCAAATTCTTTATTCTTAGTCTTTAGACTATAGAAATATATAAGCTGAAGGAGTTTGAACATTGTGTTCGATATGGAACCAATTTTTATCTTTCCCCAAATTTTTTTTCTTTCAAAATATGTCCCCGTTGGATTTTCCGTAGCATTTCCCGGGTTCCAAAAGGATACCCAAAGTACTGTCACTACAATATGCTTCAACTTTGGCAAATGGCAATTGTTTCTGAAAAATTCTCAACAGACCCTGCTATAATGTATAAGCTCGATCCAGCTTCTAGAAGATTTATTCAATCCATCATTTCTTGTTTTTCAGGAATGGAGATACATATGCTGGAGAATATTTTGCAGACAAGATGCATGGTTTTGGGGTGTACAGATTTGGAAATGGACATCGATATGAGGGAGCCTGGCATGAGGGAAGGAGGCAAGGTTTTGGAACATATACTTTCAGAAATGGGGAAACTCAGTCAGGTCACTGGCAAAATGGGGTTCTTGGTGTCTCAAGTGGTGTCCTTGGTGGACCTTCGTCAGATTACCGTTCCAAAGTGTTGCACGCCGTTCAGGTAATCGAACAACCTTTTTCCAGACACTTACCTTTTCAAATTCTACCAAGAATATGGGTGTCGGGACGTCCCCAAGTAACCAAATGGGGATGTTTCTAGAACAAGAAGCGGCATTTGTTTGAAGAATTTGTGAAACACCGGCACTTTATGTATCCCAATGTGCGTGAGATATTATAATTGCAGATTTATCTTGGGTAAATGAATTCTAATGAGGTTCGTGATCCACATTTCTTTCTCATAGGAAGCTATCCGAGCTGCCGAGAAAGCCAACAATGTGGCTAAGGTGGAAGAGAGAGTGAAAAGAGCGGTAGCAACCGCCAATAAAGCGGCGACTGCAGCAAGAGTGACAGCTGTGAAGGCAGTACAAAACCAGATGATGCATCAGGACAACAGAACCCATCTGAATGTGCAACTATCAAAATACCCTTGAACCTTTTTTATTCATTCTAAAAGGTATCATTCTTGTTCTCACCTCCACCACAAGAGTGAATGCGAGGAGGGGTCCGCTTGGAACCGCATCAAGCACTCGTTGATTGAGGAGCAAGTCGGATTCTTTCACTTAAAATATGTAAATACCGCTCGTTCGTTGCAAGTTCTGTAAGAAAGAGTTAAGCGCTCTAAAGCGCGTTTGTTTGATGCAAAGAGGAGATGAGTGTGGTTCCAGATTGCCATAGGAAAAACGGGCAAAGTTGGGTAGGAGTTTGTGTGGCATAGTTGAGTCAAGGTTTGTATAATAACTGTGTGTATGGTTTTTGTTTGTTATTATTGGAATGATATGTGGCTTCCTCGTCTAACACAACACATTTGCGCAAGCATAGTAAAGAGTAAATAGTTGACTCAGTTTTGACTTTTTTCATTCACCTATTTTCAACCTTTGAATTATAAATAAATAAAATATATATTGTATATTAATTAGAAAAAAATAATAATTTAAAAATAATTTATATAATAAATCTAATAAAAATATTTTTATATTAATATCTAATATCGTTTTTACTTAATTTAAATTCAAAGTTTATCTATTTTGACAAAAAAGTTAAAATTATACAAATACCCCGGGAAGAAAGAGTACAACATAATTTTAAGATTAAATTTAAAACTTAAGAAGAACCATTTACTCCCTCCGTCCCAAATTATAATACATGTTTACTATTTACAGGGTCAAACTTCATTTACTTTCTTTCTCTATTTTCGTTAGCAATTTGATAAAATAAAATATTATTGTCACTACTAGTTTTGTAGATCTTTTGATGTATTTTTTTAATATGTTATTTTTATTTTTTAATTCTATACCATTTGTTATATAAAATGGTTTGAAAATAATTTCAGTCAAACATCGTAAACTGAAATAGGCGTTATAAAATGGGACGGAGGTAGTAATTGTCTCCTGTCCGATACACTTGTTGTACTGTATAAGTTAGAATATAAATTTGGTAGCTTGCATGTGTAGCTCAATTGGTCCAAGTAAAAGATGTCAAGTGCATTGAGTGTGGAGTTCTAATATTTGTAATAGGTCATTGTGTGTATCGGACAAAAGACAATCTACCTAAAGACCAGATTGAGATTATATTACTCCCTCTGTCCTAAAACTTTTTTCTCACTTCCCCTTTTTCTCCGTCCTAAAACTACCTTACCATTAGGAAAAAAAGATGACAAATGACATTAATACCCTCATGTATTTACACCAATTATCTTCTAACTCTATATTTTGAATGATTGCAAAAAAAAAATTAAAAAATCTTTTTTAAGGAGGGTAAAATTTGATGTCAAAGCCAAAAATTAAAAATGAGGAAAAGTCACAAATAAATTTAGAATATTTAGCCTCGTCCCATCTTTTAGAATATATACTCCCTCCGTCCACAAATAAACTTCCCGTTCACTATTTACAGGGTCAAATTTTATTCACTTTGTTGGCCTATTTTCGTCACATGTTTGATAAAATAATATAGTCATGTCGTATCTTGTTTTTTTAGATCTTTTGATATAGTTTTTTAATGTATAATTTTTATTTTTAATTTTTACACCATTTTTCATATAAAATGATTTGAAAAATAATTTCAATCAAACATCATAACGCGATACGGAAAGTTTATTTGTGGATGAGAGATTATGACATGCCATTGACTTTTCCATTACATTTATTTCTAATTCTCCTTGGAGAATGCGTTTTCCAACTTTTTTGCTTTTCATGGCTATAGCTGGCCCTCTTTGTTTCCTCTTCCCTAGGGAGGCGCATTGACCATTGAAGCTCCAAAAAATAAGAGGAGACCGAAATCTCATATTTTTATTTAATTTATTTTACTCCATCCCTCCCAATATATAAGCAACATTACAATAAACGAACTATTTTTCTGAATTTTTTCAATCCATTTTTTTTAAAGAATGGTCTATAAATAAAAAATAAAACTTACATATTTAAAAACTACGTCAAAAGTTCTACAAAACAAGTGGTTACAAAAATATTTTATTCTATTCAAATAATCAATGAAAATTCAAAAATAAATAAAAGTTCCCGGGATTTTTAAATAGTAGAGTGTTGCTTATATTTTGAGACGGAAGGAGTATTTAAATAATATTACATTATTATAGATATAAAAAATAAAAAATTGGTATATTTAAAAAGTATGCCAAAAACTCCAAAAATAAGAGCAGATCAAAATATTTTATTTTATCAAATAATAAATGAAAACACAAATAAACAAATAAAACTTTCATTGGTTTTTTAAATATGAAGTGTAAATTATAACGAGAGAAGGGGAGTATTACACTTGGGCTACCAAAATCTCACAATCTCTCCTTTGAGAATCTCTCTTATATGAACATCCCATTAGCATTGCTCAACTCAAAGAAAAATGCTAGAAGTACACCTTTGGTGTACCCCATTTGTCCACCACTCCTTCCTTGTCCACATAATTGGGCAAAAAAATCAAAAGAAGTACAAATTGTTGTACAAATGGGATACACTTTTGGTGTACAAATGGGATACACTTTTGGTGTATCCCTAGCATTGCTCAAACTCAAAAGAAGTGAAATCATTTGTTTTCTAGGCCAGTCTTGGAAGGGTGCACTCACATATCACATATGACTCCATAATTTTACAATGCCCAATTTTTCTAGAGAGTAAGAGGCTGTTTGGTAACTTCTGAATGGGTAAGTGCTGAACCAGTAAGAGGTCTGAACCATTAAGAGCTAGTATATTGTTTAATTATTCAGAGGCAAATGTCTGATCAATTCAGATAAGAGCTCTTAATCATTCAGACTCTGTATAATACTTAACCATTTAGAGGCAAATCTCTTAACCATTCAGACATCTGAACCATTAAGAGGCTGAAACAAACAGTCTGAACCATTAAGTGCTGAATCATTCAGACATCTGAACCATTAAGAGGCTGAAACAAACAGCCCCTAAATAAAAGTAGGAAATATTAATTTATACATAGTACAACATAATTTTAAGATTGATTAAATTTAAAACTAAAGAAGAAGCATTAAAAAATAAAGAAGAACCATTTAATTTTGGACACCAAGTTTATTTGTATCCTAACTTACACATACATTAAATGTATCAGAGACACATACAAATAACAATTATTGTTGCGTGTATGTGTCTTCGATACACCTACTACTGTATTAGTCATGATACAAATCTGGTATAACCCCAACTTTTTGCATTACATTATCTCTAATTCTATTTGAAGAATGCCTTTTCCAACTTTTTGGGCTTCATGGCTATAGCTAGCCCTCTTCGTTTCTTCTTCTTCCCTAGGGAGGCATTGTCCATTGAAGCATGCTCTTTCTTCTTCCTCTTCTTCTTCTTCTTCTTCTTCTTCTTGCCATCGTCTATAATTATTCTTTTCTCGGACGGAATGGCATAGACATGAAGCGGCTTGGAAAGCGAAGCCGCTTCGTCCAAAAACCAACGATAGGAACCATTGTCCGTGAGCGGAATGGCGACCCAAACCACTTTCTCCCCCGGAAAAGTCGTCGGGTACCTCCCGAACAAGGAGACACCGGTTCCGTCGTTCTTTCCGTCGCTCATAGCCGCTTGGACCTTGGAACTGAGGTCGCGGAGACGACTCCCGCGGCTCAAGAAACACATAGCCATTGGAGGGTGGGAGTAATCGAGAGAGCCGCCCTGGTCTCCCCACTTTATCATTTCCCCTCCCCAATACAACACCGCTGCAACTTCATCACCATTATTATTGCCTGCATTCAAAGAAAAAAGAACTAGGAAACGATGAAGTGAATGAAAATATTCTATTTACAATGTTTATCCATATATGTATGTATGTATGTATCTATATATATCTGGGCTCTGTTTGGCAAGTACGCGACCGCCGTTCCCGGAGGGAAAGTGGTGTTTGTGTCCATTATTCCCCTTACCGACGACGTGTCCTTGAAGTGGTTTGTGCAGAAGGCGGCGGATCCGTACCCTGTCCACGTTGCTCAGTTGAAGGAACAGATTGAGGACATGGAGGGGGTAGTACTACCCTGGTTGCCAAGCAGCGGCTCGTCTTCGGTGGCAGGCTGCTCGAGGACGGGCGCACGCTGGCGGACTACGGCGTCGAGAGGGAGTCCACTCTCCAACTCGTCCTCCATCTTTGCGGCTGTTGAGTTGAGTTCACACACACACACTCTCTCTCTCTCTCTCTCTCTCTCTCTCTGCACTGCACGCCGCCCATGCTTTCCCTTGATATATGGAGTAGATGGAATGCAAAAACAAACAAGCTCCAATGTTCTGTTTTAATTTATTTACTCCTTTCCTTCTTTGAAAACACTTCACATTTTGATCAAGTCTTAGGGAAGTTTTAAATTATAGTTGAATCCAAACTCAACAGTGTTAAATTGTAGTCGACTAATTTTGTCTTTGATGTGATGGATAAAAGTAATATGCGATAAATATATTGTAATAATTTTAATTAAATATATTAGTTAATTTTTACAAAATTAAAAGTGTTTTATTCAAAAACATAAAAGATATTAGAGGAATTGTTTGTAAGCAGGGAGAGAGTAGGGATGACAACGGGTCGAGTTCGAGTTGGATAGTACTATATCCGAATCTGATCCGACTTTCAAACCCAAATCTGAACTTGACTTTTAAACTCAAAACCCGAACTTGAACTCGCAAATTAGCCAATAATGTATTTTAAAGCATGCTTTTCTGTTAACAAAACATCCAACTCAAACCCGATCAAAATTTAGTTTGTAGAGGAATACAAAGGTATTTTTGTTTTAAATAATTGAGTTCGGGTAGGGAAAAATCTCAAATTCCAACCTGACCCGACAAGTGTCGGATTCGGTAGGGGTTAGCAAGTATCAAATCCGAAAAAGACGAGATTACCGAACCGAAAAGTACCGAACAAATAAAACACCGAAAAAGAATAATCATACCATACCGAACCGAATGATCGGTCTGGTATTTGGGACCGGTCCGATTTAGATTTGATTTTTCGATCGGATTCAAATTTATAAATTCTTAATTTGAGTTCAAATATTTTAGTGTTCAATTGAGTCAGTTACGATCGAGTTCGGATTGAATTGCCAATCCCGGGGAGAGTTGAATTTACTAAATTAAACTTGCCATAGAAGTCATGGGCCTAGGAACTCTTTTTTATTGTAGAGATTTGGAACGCAAAGGATTATATATACTCCTTTGGATCACCAAATCTCACCCGTCTTCTTCTTCTTCTTCTTCTTCAGTCGTCCATCCATTCAAGGTTTCTTTTCCTCCCTAGTAATTTATTCTTCACTCGATTATGCCTAATCTTTCTGTCTGTCTTGTACGTATTCACCTAATAATCCCTTCTCCCCATATTCTTATGACGATTGACTAGGCAGAAAATTTGATGTTAGAATTTTCCCTAAACCCCTTCTTACTTCCGGCTCGAACTAGGGTTTGTTCCTGTTGAATTTTCGAATTGGAATAATCCCCAAGTTATTTTTTTTTATGTTGTTTGAGATTGTTTGAGTGTTCTGCTTCTCATTGGAAGATTAACATTTAAAGTGATGTGATTTTGACCCCTAATTTGAGTTATTTCTATCGGCTAAAATCTACCATTGGTCCTTTAACTTTATGAGTTGTGCACGATTGGTGTTTCAAGTTTCAAAAGTTCTTGAATAGTCCTTCAACTTTATTAGTTGTGCACGATTGGTGCTTCAATGTTCAAAAGTCCATAAGTAGTTCTTCAAATACACGTCAGTCCTCCAGATGAGATTCTTTTGACAGTAAACATACTAGTTATGGATCTAGTATTCTATTTAGCTGTTAACATTTATCGTCAAAATGACCTTATCTGGAAGGCTGACGTGTATTTGTATGACTACTTATGAACTTTTGAACTTTGAATCACCAAGCGTGCACAACTCGTAAAGTTGAAGGACTATTTATGGACTTTTGAAACTTGAAGTACCAATCGTGCACAACTCATAAAGTTGAAGGACCAATAATAGAGTTTAGCCTATTTCTATCTGATCCTCTTAATGTATTCATACAGGCATACAGGGGAATTCCACAAAGCGAAACAATGGCAGGTATGGAACATGTTTACTCATATATACTTCGTCCGTCCCTAAATAATCTTCTGTGTGTTTTTGTGGAACTATAAATTGAAGTCCTTTCAATTCTTGAAGTAGGCAATGGGGATCAAGTTGCAGCTTTGTTATTCTGGGGAGGCGACATAATTAAGCGCGGATACATGGGGTCCGTGGATTACTCCGAGCAATCAAAAACCATGTGCTTCTTGAGTCGTCGGAGTGGACACAAGGGGGTGGTGGAGGAAGAGCTTGCCGCAATGAACTCTAGGGGTGTTAAGGCCACAAGTCTCGACGCTCTTTTCGGGAAGTACCCGAAAACCGTTCCGGGAGGGAAAGTGGTGTGTGATGCCATTCCCCTCACGGACGACCGGTCATGGAATTGGTTCTTGCAGGGGGCGTTGGCTTCTTGTAATCGGGACCTTGTCCACTTGTATGCCGTTGCTGGATTGGGAACAGGGATGAAGATCTTCCTGAACATATGCGACAGGGGGAAGTCGAAGATGAGAATCCTCGACGTGGAGTCGACGAACACGGTTGGTGATTTGATGGAGCAGATTGAGGTTTTGGAAGGCATCTCGGGGGACAAAATGCGGCTCTACTTCGATTGCCAGGTGCTTTGCCCCGACTTCACACTGGGCTACTACGGCGTCGAGAATGAATCCGCCTTGGATCTCTTCCCCCGTCAATAATGACGGGGGACTGCTGCCTGCGCCAAAACCAAACAAACCCAAATGTGGAATAGGGAATGTGTTTGCTTCTAGCTTTTTTGTTTATTTTTTATAAACTAGATTCGTATCATGCAGATCTTGTTAAGATAAACCTATAGTTTTAGCAATGAAAGTTTAAACATTATTAGAATATATCAGAATTAAATGGTTGTTTAATTGTCATGGCATAAGAAATTATGAAAGTTAAACATTATTTACTCTCTTGTGGAGGATAGAAACACATCATTGACAACAGAGGTCGAGGAAAAGTAATTAGAACTGCCCCACAATGTCCATCAGCGGGAGACCATGTGTTATGAGGCTTGACCCACTGGCGTGAAGGAGGCGTCACGACGTGGCAACTACGACAACTTAACACGGGCGTGACGGAGGCTTGACAAAGGGGGCTTGATCGTGGTCGCGGGTGTTTCCCCTCTTTTTTTTTTTTTAAAATTTTTTTATTAATTTTCTACTATCTCCGCCCCAAAAAGATTTACACGTTTTGACTAAAGTTGAAATTAAGGAAAAAATAATTTTGTGTTGACTTTCAAAAATACCTTTGATGTGATGGGTAAAAGTATGATGTGATGGGTAGATTATTAGGAAAAATGTATGATATGATAGGTAGGGTTTGAAAAAGTAAGAGGTAAAAGTGGATTTTTAATATAAATGGGTAGGAAATTGTGGGACACAATTTTTTTGAAAGGTGTAAATATTTTTGGGACGGAGGGAGTACTTTTTTTTTTGTAGTGCACACATGTTTTACATCTTAATTATCATACCTCATTACCCCCATCACCCCTCATGTTTCCATTATTATACACATAGTTTTAAGCTCTTCTAATTTTTCAAAATTAAATTACGCATATAAAATTACTTTTTTTTGTAAATGATCTCTAAGTAATTTTTACCGAGGGCGATGTCTCCAAAAAAATTGTAAGAGAGAGAATTATTTAGACTAGACAAAGAAATTAAAGAAATCTTTTTGAATAGAAGTAAAAAAGTATGAAAATTTTTGTTAGTTTACTCATTTTTGATGACAATTGATAATTTTTATTTGTTTACTTTTGAACAATGTAATTTACATTCTTTATTTCTCTATCAGTTCGTAAATAAAATGACTTTATAAGAGATAAAATTTTACATATTGTTCAAAATATGATTGAACAATTTGAGAGGGAGGGAGTATATAAAATTAAACTTGGTGAATAGTGTACAGATAAAATGATATTGGACGGGAGTATATGGTAAGACTCGTCACAGACAAAATAATACTCCCTTTGTCAAAAAACAAATCGGTTCAAAGGCCTCTTATTTCGAAATATTTACAACGTATGCCAAGACACAGCAACGGGTTCTATGGTGTAGTGGTTAGCACTCTGGACTTTGAATCCAGCGACCTGGGTTCGACTCCCGGTAGGACCTCCAAAGTCACACGGATCCAGAATTTTTTACCACTCCCATCCGATTATGTTTTTAAAAATATGTAATGATTTAATTATTTTATTTTATCAACCAATTAATGAAAAGTGTAAAGCAAAAAAGGAATAGTTTGGTCATATAAATAAAAAGACTTAGATAATACCTAACATTTCCACCTACACAACACAAATTAATCTATATTTTCACACCCATTATCAACCAAATCGAAACGAGTATTTTATTAAGTATATACTACGCATGGTTTTTTATTATAGTTTATTTGTTTATTCTATAAGAAATTTCATAGATATTAAAGTAATTATTTATTTTGAAATTCATAAAATAATAATTATTTTAAATATAAAAATAAAAAAGTTACATACATATTAATAAAACACACGTTCTTAATAAAATTGACAAACTAAGTCAGACAGTAACATGAAAAATAAAAGCAATGATTCATGATAGAAGATACAAAATCTAAAGAGATTAGATATAGAGAATGTGAAGTGTTTGTGGAAGTATATGAATATTACTATCTCTATCCTAGATAGTAGGGAGATGCGGGAGGATTATGGTTATCGAGAGAAGTAGGGAGAGAGGTAGACCTAGAAAGAATTGGAAAAAGGTGATAATGCAGGATTTAGGACTTCTCACCCTGATTGAGGATATGACCTTAGATAGGAACCTTTGGAGAACTAGGACTAGAATAGCTAGATAGGAGCTCGGTACTGTAGAGGTTGTTTTGTAGTGTGTTGTGTTTGTTTGAAATCTTTTGCTATTGCTTGTATTTGTTGGTTATACTTGGTGCTTTATCCGTGTTATACTGTGTTCCCTTCCATATTTTTGTGCAGGTGAAGCCGAGAGTCTCTTGGAAAAAGCCTCCCTACTTCCGAGTAGGGGCAAGGTCTGCGTACACACACCCTCCCCAGACCCTACTGTAGTGGAATTCACCTGGGTTGTTTTTTTTGTTGTTGTTCTATCCTAGAGTATTTATCTGCTTACTTTTTGGCACAAGAACAAATAAATAAAGATAAAAGAGTACAGTATACCAAACTATTCCTTCTATATGGCGGGACATTTATAAAGTAATGTTGAAAGATAGACAAATGAGTCAATTTGACATTGTGTATCATTTGTAAGTATAGTCTTGCTGGAGGACCTTGGCAACAGGATTCTTAGCTCCGAGTGGAAACTTAATTGAGTTTTTTTAATGGTTAATGTTGATGCTTCAACGGGTTTCATCCATGAAGTCGTGGGTTTGACCTTTATCGTGATAAGGCCATGATGGACTCTTTCTTGCATCAAAAACATTTGCTGCAAAGGAAAGCTATGGCGCAACTTGCAAGAGAAGCAAAATTGGGGTGAAGGAGGCACTGAGCTGGATTAAATCGAGGGAAAGGCGGAGGCGATTCTTGAGACAAACTGCAAAGCCTTTCAAAGTTTTCTTTTTGTAATTGCAAATAGCACTGCAATAAGTTATAATACTCTCTGGCCACTACAAAAAAACATTGGGATCATTTTGACCAGGACAAATATGCAGCTTCAGTAAACAACACTCAATGGTCATTCAGGTTGAACACCAACCAGTCCAAGAAATCAATCATCATCGGACGAAGAACCCGCAGATGCCATCCTAAAGTCATCTCCTGCTGCCATGTCCTGAATGCAAAAAGATAATTTCATCATATGGACACATTATCAAGAGCACAAGGAATCACGCGCTTAATCACGGATGATGACAAGGGAAAGTTTTCAAGAAAGTTATTTTTTTATGTTTGTGTATTTCACCTAGGGATATATGTTTGTGATTCACATCTTTTTCTGATTGTCCCAAAATAAACTTCACACTTCACTCATTTTCCTTTTAGGAAAGGAATATGTGACTCGCAATCTTTCTCTCTGTTCTAAACAAATTTCAATCACACGTTTTTACTTTTTGAACACTTTTCTTACACTCTATACAGTCAAGCTGGAAAATTTATGTTGGGACGGATGGAGTACATGCGTATATAAATTTATTTATTTGTATTTTATCCAATCTTATATTTCTGACCCATGCCTTATTTTCCTCCAAATTTCCTCTATGTTTTTCTTTTAACATACCCCCCCCAAATGATTTTCCAAGATCCAAACAGACCCGTATGCTATGCACAGCCCTTTCCTTTGCCGCCTATGTTCTTTTTCCAAATTGATCCCATCTAATCCCGTCTATGATCCACCTAGATTGAGCCCGACTGCCCGAGGACTCAATCTGCCAAAACCTCTAGAGCTTTTAAGAACTATGGCTAATAAGGAGGAATGAATTTCTTGCCTGCTGTTTATCCCAGTCTTTCAACTTTTGATGGGTTAACATGTAATTATCCCGCAGTGGAGCCCACACAGGACCATCATTACCTTTTGCCCCAACAGATGTATCACCCTGAAGCAATAAGAATAAATATTAAACATAACAACAACAACCTAGTAAAATACATACAGACATATTCTGTTAGATTACTTAGATCCTTGATGCATTGCTGCATTTACTATCCAAAACTTCATCGAAGGTAAGAAGCAATGTCGTTTTGATTTAGTCCTTTACTTTTCTAAAGATAAAACATTGTCACTTAAAACTATTTTAACGCCACTGGCAATGGACATTAAGTGTGAGAGAAAATAAAGTTCATCATGTTCAAGAACCAAGAAGGATTCTAAAGACAATGGTGTTTCTTGCTGCAAATAGGTGGCAAAACATAGATGAGTGTGTGTGTGTGTGAGAGAGAGAGAGAGAGTACCTTTTGAAAAATACCACCAGACTGGGATGAGCTCTTGCCCAACTCAGAGAAGAAAGCATCCTTCTTTCGCTTCTTTATTACTAATAGATCAGATATGAACAAGCAGTCAGCACCAAATTGTGATCCAACCAGCATTCAAAACTTATGGAATAAGCACGGCTTTGTATACTACAACTCATAGTAAGATGTTCATGCAGGGATGATATGTTAACTGATAACTTACAATTCACACACTTAGGGATAGTCAATTCTTTCCAGCAAGCTACTCAATAAAAGATTAGAATTTTGAAAGCAGGTTTTATTTTAACTTACTTTTTTCATCTCTTGACCTTGCGGGATTTAAGCCTCTTTGAGCATGTTGAGCCTTGTTTACCTGAAAGTAAAGAAACCATGACTTTGAGTAAATATTCAACAACTTATTACATCCAATGGAAATGTAGAATTATCAAGTAGCAGAAGAAATCAGAACTCTGAATATTTACTTACAGCATTGAACAGCTTAACCACTGAGATTTCAGAAACACGGATAGGCAATGCACGAGCATGTTAGTTTCATTCACAAATATATGAAATAATGGTCATCTAAGTATTACTTCAATCAAAACCTTAATGTGGTACCTCCTTTTGTAGCAATTCCTATTAGTAACTTTTCATGAACATCCAAATAATTAGCAGGCTTCATATGACCCTTTTCTCCAATCTTGTTCATAGATGAGAATTGAACACAAATTCAAGTAAGCATTGAGTTATTCAAGCATCTAAAAAATTCTTTGAGATATTAGGTGTGTGTGTGCACATATAAACACATACATACATGCATATGCATACCAAGTGTTTATCCTTCTTTGCATCACCCTTCACTTTCCTTTCTGTTTCTTCTTCAGCAAGTTTCTCTGCTACAAGCTTCTTATGAGCTGATAACACAGGACCCTGCGAAAACCACAAAATATATCATAGAGCTGTACAGTTGGTGATATCTTTGTAATTCTCACTTTTTTTTCAAATATATCCTAATATCCTTTTGTCGTATTGTACTTCTTTTTTTCTATTTTGCTCAATTTCTAATTTCAATATGATGGATGCTCATTTTCCTTATACAAAATGCTCATATGCAAATGTCGATCTACAATTATCATGGAGTGTACAAGTACTGGGAGAAAAAATTTAATCATTATTATTCATAGAAGAATTATCAACTTTGTATCTGGTATAAAGCATCACTATCCATGTGAAATGAATTTGATGCTTCATATTCACGCCTACACAGAAAAAATAAATTGCAAAAAAAAGCAAGAGAAATAAATTTTGATTGGTTGGAAACTACTGACCAGTACATCATCGGAAGCAGTTTTCTTTAGTATTTTCTTGAAGGCAATTTTGAATGCCTTACATCCCTCCATGAACTTGGTGATTCCTGGCTGAATTTCTCCACCTTCATCTTCCGATTCATCATTCTTTTCCTCCACATCTCCTTCCTCATCATGAGAAGTATCATCTTCAAATTCATCATTTTTACCATGAAATGCCATGTCTCCCAACTCTTCCACCACCTGGACGGAATCATCATCCTTATCCTCGTCATCATCATCTGAATGGTACTCTCTTGCTCTCTTTTGAAAAAGCTTCTTCATTTTTTTATCTATTCTAACTTTTTTCTCATTAAAAGGCATTGTCTTCTGCTTCTTTTTAGCTCTTCCGTTTCTTTTCTTGCTCCCAATATGTCGTTTGTTCGGCATGCCCTTCTGTACATCTGTCATTTTATCTATATATAATAGCTCTTTCCTCTGCCAAATTTCCCAACAAGACCAACTGCAGAAACAGCAACAAAAATAAGGGCATGTTCTCCAATCAATAAACACCTGTCCTAATTGCCAAATTATACAGAGTACTTATATCAAATGAATCAAATGTTTATTATTTGCTTTCATTATTAGTCTTCGTTGTTCCAAACAAAATGTACATTTGTGCATAGACTTATTTGTTGCAAGACCCTAAGTGCAGCAACAATGATATCCATCTTCTGATTCCCAATAACAAAAACAAAAATTTTGGAAATTTATCCCACCCGGACAATGGAGGGATGAAATCTGCTCACTCTATTAACTGAATTAAACAATAAACAAAAACATACATCCCAGAATTAAACCATTAATTCATTCATATTTCATAGAAATTAGAAAAGATTACAAACTAAAAATTAATAATTAACCCTAGATTTTAAACAATGAATGAAAGAAAATTAGAAAAAAAAATTACTAAATTGGAAAGATAGTGAATACGGAATACCTGGAGGGTGCAGCGGCGTCTGGAGGCAGAGGCGGCGGCGTCTCTCTACCGGCGGCGTTCTCAGCAGTCGGTACCCTCTTTCCGATTCGGTTTCTGCGCTGCTGTTTGCGTTAGTTGTCTACGAAGTGGGGGAAGGGATGGGGCGGCTAGTGAGATGGGCTTTTGACATATTGGGCTGGGTGCTGGGCCTCTTATATACATACATATACTCCGTATAATATAAAAAAATTAATTGGGCCCCTTACATTCATGGGCCCGGTCAGGACAGACTGTTTGTTCCCTGTTGGGCCGGCCCTAGACACCACCATACCCATTTCTTGGTTCCTTGTTTGTTGTTCTCACCCGAGACTAGTTGTCTATTTTTGCACCCTATACGGAAATAATGTTCCTTCATTCCATTCATCGTTTGGGGCTTGCTCTCTATATTTGTCGCTTTCTTTACTCTAAGCAGTTGGTGGCTCGTGTAGTCGCGTGTGTTGCCCGTGCGTGGATTATGACACTAAGCAGTCTAGTCTCCAATGCTTTCGTGAGAGATCTTTGGCATGCAACATTTGGACTTCGAAATTCGTGGTTTGCGCATAGACTAAGACATTCAACAATTACACTTCTTGGTCATACATTCGAAGGTTGACACATAATTTGGTATTGACAAATCGTGCATGGATCCAAACATTTGGCATTTGGAATTCTTACTCCGTCTATTAATTCCTTTCTCACTTTCCTTTTTAGACCGTCCAGAAATTTCTTTCTCGTTTCTTATTTTGGCAACAAAATTTTAATGAATGTACCCTATGCTCCTACTTTTTATCAACACTATTCACTTTATTTTATCACATCAAGGACAAACATGGAAAATTTTTACACCTTTTCACAGGAAAGAAATTTTTGGATAGAGGGAGTAACAGGCTTTTTGGACTTATGGCTTTAGGCATTTTGTATTTTGTGCTTGTTAGGCACATTGCATCTCATGATTTGGCCTCATAGTTTGATATCCTATTACATTGCAATTGACACTCAACACTCATCTAAAATGAGAATTATTTTATGCTCATGGCACCACATATTGCCACTTTTGAATTCAAACCTCACTTGTAGTTATGGTGCAATTGGGTTCAAAGTTTTAGTAATTTTATAAGGAATAGCTATTTTAGTCATCATCCTTGTAAGAATGCCCATTGACGAAGAGGGGATCTTTCGTTGAAGGCCAAAACATAACGACGAGGGGAAACCCGCTCATCACATTGCGGGTGTTATTCGGAGCCGGGCCTAGACCTGACCCATTGACGTACAAGCCTGACTGCAAGAGGCTTCACCAGTGGCACACACTTGAGGACTACCATGACATCCAAGATGTGTCCACTCTACATCTCGTCCTCAAACTGCACAGTTTTTTTATGGTCTTGCATTTGAAGGGGGGTGTTTGAATGTGATTAGTGTCTACAAAATAAGTGATTACTTTGGCAATAAAATTTAGAAACATCTCAGATGTAACTTAGTTGTTCAGTCTCCAACTAAGTTGATGGCGAGTGATGAATTGAAAACGATCCTCATTGTTGCTGCAACTCCGGTTTTCCCCCTCCGGATTCTTGTTCTTCCTCACACCCATACGCCTCCGGGCATTAGCAGAAGAAGATTCTGGTGGTCTCTTTGCAACAACAACATACACATGAACAGGCTGAGAAACCGATTTTGCTTCCAAAAACTATTTCTTGTATGTTTATAAATTTTCCAAATAATATAGTAATTGCACCTATTGTTTTGTAATTTATTCGATTTAGTTTTATACTCCAAGTTTTATTTTTACTTTCACTGTCAAGAAACGTAAGGCACAGAGGAAGTAAGATCTACCCAGTAATAACTAACCTTCAATCTATCTACCTAGTAATAACTAACCTTCAATCTAATGCAGAGTACTGTAAAACAACCACAGGTAAGATAGGTTACCTAATTAAAGGTGTGGTCTTACTCATTTCAATATACAGATTAAAAACATTACATACTAATATTGAGAAATCAATAGAGAAGGCTAAAAAAATACTCTCTCCGTCCCTAAATATTTGCCACACTTGTATTCCTGAGGAAAAAAATTATTAAGTTTTCAATTCATTTTATTTACATATTGGTATGGAAATAAAAAATAAAATTTACATATCAAAAAAAACTACATGAAAAATTCTTCGAAATAAGAGGTGTCAAGAATATTTTATTTTATCAAATAACCAATGAAAACGTAGAAATAAACAAAAGTTCCCGCGACTGCTGAAAAAGCAAATGTTGTGAATATTTTGGGACGGAGGGAGTACTAAATTAGAGGTTCTAGAACACTTAGCTTCTTTGTAATGTCCTGAACGGTTGCGAACAATTTTAAATTACGATGCGGTCGTGACACATAAACATTTTTTTGTTCCGTGCCGTTATCCCGTATATATGTAGATATTTATTTATTTATATAATAATATAACACAAAAGAGTATCACAATATCTATTTCCAAGATAAATACAAATAAATAATCAAACTTAAATATTTTAAAAGAAATAGACTAGAAGCGGACCACCTAAAAATCCTAAACGTTTCGACCCGTCCCACCCCAATTTGTGATTCATAATTTTTATGAATCTTATAGTTGTTCGATTCATGTTCTTTCTCCCAGAAAAACAAAGAAAACAATTCTATTATATAAATTACATAATATGTATTTTTAAAAAAAAAAAATTATACTCTACTTTTAACTGGGTCATAATCTTTTTCACTTTTGTGAATCACTTTCAACTACACTATTTTACTTTCATTAGGCTTTGTGCCAATATAAACTGAAAATCTTTTTAAGACGCAAGTGCAAAGAAATCGTGAGTTGAAAATGCATATTGGTCCCGGATGCAATTTATATAAGGACAAATCTAATTAACAAGATCAAGGATGACACCGCTAGTGTCTTACAGACAATAATTCTTCACCGATAACTATTGTTTGTGCGAAAAGATAGGGCTGATGGTGTCTTACCGTCACTTGATGTAGTGAATGAGAGCAGAATTGTTTTTCATTTGTTCCATCGCACGAGCGGGCATAGTACGGACTGTCAACAACCGCACAGTCTGAGGGTAAGATGGATAGCAGACTCGTTCTCGACGTTGTAGTCCGCAAGCGTGCAACAGTCCTCAAGCTGCCTGCCAGCGAAGATGAGCCACTGCTGGTTAGCGGGAATGCCCTCCAACTCCTCAATCTGTTCCTTCACCTCAGCAATGGTGTCTGATGGTTCAACCTCCAGGGCAATTTTCTTGCCCGTGGTGGTTTTGACAAAGATCTTCATTGTTGCTCGATTCTTGTTCTTCCTCACACCCATATGCCCCCTGGCAGTATTAGTAGAAGATTCCGGAGCTCTCTTTGCAGCAACCACGTACACATGAACAGGCTGAGGAACCGCGTTCGCTTCCAAAAACCACTTCCAGGATGGATTGTCGGTGAGTGGAATCGAAACAAACACGACTTTCCCACCCGGAACAGTAGTTGGGTACTTCCCAAACAGAGTGAGACTTGTGTCCACCTCTTCATCATCGGCGTTCATTGCAGCAAGCACTTCACCCAACAGCTCAATGAAGCTGCTGTGGCTGCGACTCAAGAAACACATGGCTTTCGGTGGCTCTGAATAATCTATGGACCCGAGGTATCCGTTCTTTATAATTTCACCTCCCCAATATACCAATGTGGGGACTCGATCACCATTGCCTGTGTTAATTGAGAGCATATTTCAAACTTACAATGGATACAAGGGTGGGGATTTATTAGCACCGTAACAAAAGTTATGGTCATAGCGTACCTGCCATTTCCTCTCTTTGCTCTCCACTCCAAGTGTTTAACTAAGTAATCTGTATGCAAATATGTATGTATTCATAGAGAACTGAGAAATAATACAGCACGCGCAAAAACACACCCACACATAGAGATGGTCTTCAAGACTAGCCAAACTATAGGAGAAAAACCCCGCAAACGCAAAACTAGCACAGCAACGGACATAGGCAAGCAACACACCAACCAAAGGCATGTAAAAGCACAAGTAGTCAAATACTTCATCCGTCCACAAATTATCTTCTCGTTCACTATTCACATGGCCAAACTTTATTCACTTTGTTGGCCTATTCTTGTTACCCATTTGATAAAATAATATAGTCTGTCACCTCTAGTTTTGTAGATTTGTAGATCTTTTGATGTAGTTTTTAAATATGTAATTTTTATTTTTTTATTCCACACCATTTCTTATATAAAATGATTTGAAAACAACTTCAGTCAAACATCTTAACGCGCAACGGGAAGATAATTGTAGGACTACAATGAAGAAAACAAGTTACCTCATGAAAGGAACCAACTCAACGAAAGAGGTCGAGCTTGTAGTTGTAGGCCTAGGAACGTTTTATGCTCGAAGGTCCACTCACGTATAAGCAAGATTTGTTTTTAGGGGGTTTTTGCACATGAACATTAATTTTTAGAAATTAGATGGCATTGAGGTTCGAACTTCGAACCATGACCTCTAGGTCAATCCTATGTCAAGGAACCACAACCAAAAAAGAGCAAACTTGTGGTCTGTCCTAAAACACACACTAGACAATTCTATGAACAAGGAAATCCAATTTTCCAAATTAATCAAATCAAGGGCAACAAAGATTTTGAAATTGAAAGATTTTCTTTTTTAATATAATTAAAGTCAGATTCGAAAACCAGCAAGGAAGGCAGATTTTAAAATTAAAAGATTTGTTTAATAGAATAAAAGAGTAAAGTTGAACAATTTTATTTTAATATTGAAAGCTTCGGAAATCAGTGAGGAAGTTAGAATTGAGGTTACCTCGAGCTCGATTATTCAGAGAGGCGGATATGAAGACGAAGATCGACTTGCGCAAAAAATCTTGAGATTACCCTAATTTGCCCCGGTCTTATCTGAGTTGGTAAAACCTTCGGTTTGGTTGGAAAAAAAAGATTGGCCCCATCCCTAGGGCCCAATCAGACGCGAACCGACGGCTACTGAGATATGGAAATATGCTTAACATACTTGCCTCTCAGCGCAGTTGTCAGCGCAGTTGTCAGGAATCAATTTCGGGTCTTACTTCCTTGACACTTCTTATTTTGCCAACCGCGCAACGCTCAACGGTCTGTCTGGTTGGAAGGGAGGAGACCAGAGATGAGGGAAGGTAAACCATTGTTTGGTATAAGTGGTCAAAAATACGGACTCAACATATTGTTTTGGACTAGATCGACATTGTACTGAATTGAAAAATGAGTTTTCAAATAATTCTAGTAAATTATTTTCCCGAAATGAACGGAAGTGTTCTCAAAATGGTACGAGATGAGTTCTCAACCGAAAATACCGAATGGAACCGCTATCACTAAAATGTTAAATCATTAGATTAATTAGTGATTTTATTTGTTATTTTTAGTAAATTTAAGTCATATGTATTTAGGGTGAATTTAACATACTTAAACTTATTTTCTATAGTATTTTATTACTCCGGATAATCACTAAAATTATAGTTTCATTTGTTGAAAAATCAAACTATTATTTTATTTTGTCAAAAAATTGTAACTAAATAATGCACTTATTAAAAGAACACAAAAATCTTGCACTAATTTTTTGAAATTACATCACATGTTTTTTATGAATAAAAATATTTTCAAAACATTGAAATATTATGGTAACGCCAAACCATCCGGATTGGTGCCCTTCTTGTTCTTCTGTCAATTTTCTCTCTATATTGTCATTAAAAATAAATTTATGACCATAATAGGAAAAAAATATATAGTTTTAGCAAGGATGGACTGTGGGTGGAAATAAAAACATGAAAATGCGTGACCAAAATAGTAAAATCCCATTGAGAAGCATCAAACAAAATCCAACCTTCAACTATCTCCCCATGCCTTTCTACACAGAAAGCTAAATCACAGTCACATATCCATTCAAAATACCAAGCTAAACATAAACTCCCATCCCCAGAATTACTAGCAAAACCCAAGGCTTAATCAAGCAAGCAAGAAACACTCAGTAGTCGCAGCCACCACGGAGGCAGAGGACGAGATGGAGGGTGGAGTCCTTTGTGACGTTGTACTCTGCCAGAGTGCGGTGGTCCTCAACCAGCCTGCCCGAAAAGGTGAGCCGCTGCTGGTCGGGCAGCATCCCTTCACTGACCTGAATCTTTTCCTTCACACTGAAGATGGTGTCGGATGGTTCAACCTGAAGTGCAATCGTCGTCCCTCTCAGCGTCCTCACAAAGATCTGCATTGTCGCGCCGCTTGTCTTCTGACGCCACTTGTTCCTTCTCAACCCAACCAAATCAACCAATTTCATCTTTACTCTAGAAGACAAATCTCGGTGGTTCGACAACCTTTCCATCTCTTCAAAATACGAATCCATTTGGTTGTTCTTAGGTCCAGTTTGGTCCAAGAAATCTCCAAAACTATCCATAAAATGGCAGAGGGCTTCAATGCCTTCCTCATCTGGTTTTTCGCAATCCCCAATCAATTTCACAATGCAGCTATGAATGGAACTTTCGGATATCAGCTTTTTCTTGTATAACTCCCCAATCAATCTCACATTCCCAAGCTTCCTCCTCATAAGAGTCCAATTTTCATTTTGAGTTGCAAAATCTCGAACCCTTTTGCATCTCTCCATGCCTCTCCTCTCAAACTCCTCCTCGCAGCGATTAATAAGCAATTTACTAAACGTTATCTTCCCGGGTTCCTCCTGAGGAGGCATGATGAAGTTAAGCTGGTGACAAATATCTGCAAGCATTTCACAAAAACTTGACACCATCACAGCATTGTCATATGCTTGGGAAACGAAACCAGAAAAAGTGGCAACACTCATATCCTCTCCCTTATTTGATGAACCCACGCCACGCCGGATAACTGGTCCTCCCTGGCCAAAACACAAACCAGCCGGGAAAGCGTCACAGTACACATGAACCGGTTGGGAAAGCAAAGCCTTCTCCAGAAACCACTGCCACGAATGGTCATCGGTTAGTGGAATCGACACAAACGCCACTTTATCTCCGGGAATACTCATCGGATACCTTCCAGACAACTCAAGAGTGGTGGTGTTCGTTCCATCGGTTTTCATTTCGGCGTGCACTTTCGCCACCAGCTCATCGTGCCTGACGGTGCGGCTCAAGAAACACAGGCATTTTGCCTGCCCACAGTAATCCACAGACCCTAGATCTCCACGGTATACCGTTTCGCCTCCCCAAAACAATAGCAAAGCAAATTGATCACCATCACCTACATTGAACATTGCAATGTGACTACTACATAAATAAAAATCAACATCAGGTAACAACAGGTTAACGATTTATACAAATTACAAATCTGATTTCATTCATATGCAAACAATTTCTCATACCTGTCATCTTATCTCTTTGCTTTCCCAGTGCTTCAAGTAAATTCTACTGAAAGAGAAATAAAATTCAAAATTCCTCAAATCCTCTCATGTGAATACAATGAGTTGCACGAACTATTTAATTGTGAAAATACGAAACGACCTCACAATTTTCAAGGAATAATAAACCGTTAGTATTCTGTGTAATTGTCTCGGCACTTGATTAAGTGAAAACTTACGGTCGGAGCGAAGGCCGGTACCGGAGCTTCTACCGGAAATTGCGTCAGAATTGAGGCGGAGAGGATCAGAGGAGACAAGTGATGAGACGAAAGTGGGGAATGGGAGAAGGAAACGACCAAATTACTGGAAGTAGGCTCTTCTAACATTTAATTTTTCCAATTTCTTTTTTCTTTTTTCTTCCCGTTTTTTTAATTCTCCCAATTTTTTTTTAATTCCTTCAGTTTCTTTAAATTTTTTTAGTTTTTCTAATTTTTTCCCGTTTTTCTAATTCTTTTCTATTTTTTTCAACTCCTAATTTTTTTCAACTTCTTTCTGTTTTTTCTAACTCCTTTCAGTTTTCCATCTCTTTACAGTTTTTTCAACTCCTCCCAATTTTTCTAAGTTTTTTCCAACAATGACTTTAAAAGAATTATCTAAGTTTATTTTCATATATTATTATTGTCTTAATAAAATAAAAACTGATTTAATTTCACAATTTATTAAATTTTACTTACCATTATTGTATCATGTAAATTATTAAAATCTTAAATTAATAAATTTATAATTTCCTTTGTGATTTCGAATCGTTAATTATTTTTTTTGAAATGTGTTCTTATCAACGTTTTAAAATTTTGACCAACATAATTGTGTACTTTATTTTTTAATTAACAATCACATGACTTAAATGTGCATATACTAATAATTACTCCGTATTATAATGTACATGTTCTAAGCAAATTATAAGAATTATTCTAAGCAAATTATTAGTAAATGTGCATATACTAATAATTACTCCGTATTATAAGCATATGAAAAAATAATTGTTCATACATCAATTTAATACACGAAGAAAAAAATTGTGTAAAACTCATATTGTTTATTTTTAAAATGTGCATATACCGAATGTGTATTAAAAACTACCTCTAATGTATAAAAAATCTTTATTTTAGTTTTATAAAATAAAAAAATAGAAAAGTGAAATTTTTGTTATTATTAAAATGTCCAATTGTAAGGATAATTTTTATTTATTTTTTTAAAATCAATTTATCTATATGATTTAAAATGTCCAATTGTTAAAAAAAAGTACTCCGAATTACTATTACGGAGTATTAAACAACATTATTTTAAATTTTTTTAACATAGTACCAAGTTACCAACACCACAATTAAAACATGTCGCTTAAGATATACATTTAAAAGTCAACATTAATACCAAGAGAGTACAACACTGAGAACAAAGGAGCTTGAGAAACTACTGATTGATCGCAACTTAACACTCAAGTCTTACATACGGAGTATATCTTTTTGTAAGTAAAAAATAGTAAATGGCACTATTTTAGAAAGGAGTAAAAATGTTTTAAAAAATCTTTCGATCATCCCATAAAAAAATATTTTTGTGATAAAAAACAAATATGTAACATGGAATTAATCTTTAAACTAATGTAACATAAGTAATAAGATTTAAAAAAAATAGAAAATTTTTATTAGAATTATTATTTTATTTTAAATTGACTATTTAAACAAAAAGTTGTGATAAGAACTAAAGCATAACATTGAATTAGTCTTAAAGTAATTGTAACATGAATAAATAAAAAGAAAAAACTTCAAAAGTTATACTTGGTATTGTATAATTATATAGAAAAAAATTAACCAGCCCACCGGTACGAACCAAAATCCGATGGGAGACCAGACCAGAACCCGAATAAGGAAAACTAGTGAAGTCAAAGATTTCAGTCCGGTCTGATTTTCACCGGGTTCGGGTCGGTCCGGGTCTGAACCAAATAATGCACACCCCTACTCCTCTTCCCGATCACCCCCTTCATCTCTTTCAATTTTCTTCTTCAATCTCATTAAAATACAAATTAAAGAAACAAATCTAGGATTATGTCATAAAGAAATTATAATTTACGTTCCAAATATAAGAAATTCAAGAACTAAAAATTAAATTTATGTTTCAAAACGCGAAAATTTGAAAATCTATTTATGAGGTATCTCTTATAGCCTTATAGGTGTTCCACAAATTACTTATCCCAAAAAGAAACATTGACAACACGTCGTCTATAATGCTGTGAGCCGAACACCCAACAACTTCTACACAAGCCAAATACTACTGCAGACTTATAATATAACACCAAGGTTCCCATGACATTGGGAACCAATGTCATGGGATGACCCGGGGGCGCTCTGATGCCCCGTTCGTAAAATTGACGGTTCCTACCATAATATAATGCACGTATACACACGTTCGTCAAAGTACGCGGAGAAGAATGGGGGAGTAGCTCTGCACATTGTAATCAGCAAGTGTACGGTTGTCCTCAAGCTCCAAGTCGGCGAGGAGGAGCCTCTGCTGGCACAACAGGTACCCTCTATGGTACTTGATCATTGCCTTCATATTTAAGACAGTGTGGGACAATTTAACTTTTATAGTAAATGGCGGATGTGGCTTCGAGACTCCCACGTGGAGTGTCATTGCTAGGCCAGGGGTTTTAGGCTCCCACTTGTTGTTTCTCAGTCCAACCAAATGAACCAACATTTGCTTTACTCTAGAGGAGAAATCCGGGTGGTTTGACAATTTAGTCATCTTTTCAAAGTACATGTCCATCACCGTAAGCTCCTTAACTTGGGGGTTGTCCATGGATTCACCAACTCTGTACATCAGCTTGCTGAGGGCTTCAATCTCTTCTTCTTCTGGATTTTCACACTCCCACAATATTTTCTTGATGCAGCTGTGCACGATTCCTTCATCTAGCAGGTTTTTCACGTATAGTTCCGTGATTAATTTCACATTGCCCAACATCAGTTTTTCTTTGCCTCTCTGAAGTTCTTTATGGCAACAATTCGAGAGACATCTCGCAAAGTTGAGCTCCTTCCCATCCACGGTAAATCCAGGCAACATACAATTAAGCGCAATGCAAATATCTACCAACATCTCACAGAAAGCAGGCTCCACGACAGCTTTGTTGTATGCCATTCTAGCGAAAGCAACAAGAGATTTAACATTGTCAATGTTAACATCTTTCACTAGTTCAAGCACCCGCAGAGAATTTCGAGGAGTTAACTGACTCAGGAGAACTTCCAACCTTATAGTCTTTTGCTCATTTTCAAAAGCAGCATTTGGTGCAGCAGACACGACAGGAGTTGTAACCGTGGCTGGTGTATCAGCCGCAGCAGGAGCTGTAACGGTGGTTGGTGTAGTAATGGTAGCTGGTGTAGTATCGACAGCATGTGTTGAAGAACTAACAGCAGCAGAATCTGTAACAGTGGCTGGTGTATCAATATCAGCAGCAACAATGTCACCGTTGACCGCATCTTCATCACCCTGATATGAGGAACTGGCCTTGCTAATACAGTGCCTACGAATTGCTACACCCTGGAAACCCCTACGAATCTTCATGACTCTTCCATCATCCAACATGTCTTCCTCTTCACCATCCAAAATGTGGTCATTAGCACAACCTGAAGAGCCAACTCTATGCTTCTTCTTGAGATTTCTATCATCTGTTGTTTTCTTTTCAGCAACAATATACACATGGACTGGCTGGAAAAGCAATGTTGCTTCCAAAAACCAATGCCATGATTGATTGTTAGTGAGTGGAAATGAAACAAACAAAACTTGTCCCCCTGGAATCATTGACGGGTACCTTCCAAACAAGGTGAGCTTTCTGTGATCTTCAGTTGTGTTCATCGCAGTGTGCACTTCCGCCAAAAGCTCATCGTGCCTGCTAGTGCGACTCAAGAAACACACAGTTTTTGGTGGTTCTGAATAATCTACAGACTTGTGATCTCCGTGCTTAACCATTTCTCCACCCCAAAACAACATTATAGGAAGTTGATCACCATTACCTACAGTCACTGTAGTGTCAATTACAGAGCTCCACGATGAAATGCACCTGTTCATCATACTTGTGCATAGTACAACACGATAGGCTAACTATTTTTATGTAACACCAGCAAACCCAATAAAATCCCACAGAGAGTGGTCTAAGCCCTAAGGAGGGTGAGTGTACAAATGTAATACTGCTAGATACGTACCTGCCATTTTATCCTTTGATTCCAACTTCAAATGTGATCTGCATCTAAACTATAAAAAAAGACATTGAATGAAAAGTTTAATACCCTGTAAAAAAAACCTTCAAAAATACTATTTCAGCACGATTTCAAAACGAGAAAAAGTGAATGATAATCTTAAGGGGTGAGCAGCACAGTCGAAAGCAAAAAAAAAATTGAAGTGTGAAAAAATGAGTAGATAATAAAAGCAAAACACAATTCAATCAACTTGACAGAACAAAAATTCCGAGCTTATCCTTTTCGGGAGGGAATCAAAGTTATCAAACCATTCGGAACCATACAGCATGATTTAAGATAGGATCGAATTGCAAAACCCTAAAATGCAAATTTTCCCGTCTTAAATAGGAATTACATAAAAATTAGAAGTTCATTGGGATTCCTGCGATTTCGAAAAGCTTCGAACATGCTACGGCGGGGGAGTACCATCACAGAACACAGGCATTTGCGGCATATGAACCCAATTTAAAATACGTTCAAAATTGAGGTGAAATCTTACCGTCGGGGACGAACGGAAGCTGGTCGGAGGTAGAGAAGCACCGCGAAAATGAAGGCCGATGGCCGATGACGGAGCCGTCGATTGTCAACGACGCCGCGCGTTCAGAACGTGGAAGGTCAAAATGCGACGCCCTCAACTTCGGACGGATACCGTTATCCCTTTTTATTTTTGGATAACTTGATTTTTTAACTTCTTTGGTAGTCCGGATAAAAACATTTAAATTTATGCAATAAAAACTCTTCACTAAAAAATTAAACAAAAAGTTTAAATTAGACCTAATTACATGGGTCGCCTTAATTTTTTGTTGGGGGCATATATACAAAAAAATTAAAATTTCTATCTAACCCTATTACAAAAAATTAGTTGGGGACATGTATTTCCTTCTCCAAACAAGTAGATCTGCCACTAAAAGAGATCTTTCAACCTTAAAACCGGGGTCATAAAAATTGGCTTTTGAAAATGTTCATCAATGTCATCCTCTTTTTTTTTTGAAAATGCTCATCAATAGATTTACAATAAAAGCACTATTAAAATATGAGGAATTTACCTAAACAGTACTAAAACACAAAATAATTTTTCCAATATAGTACCATATGTTTTTATTTCTAATGTAGTACCATTGGTTATTGTCCGCTCGTCATTGTTTAAATAAATGTCCACCGCCACTGGACATTGTCTAAATTAAACGTCCACCATCTGGAGATTGTTCCCGTCACTATACATTGTTTAAGTACTATTTAGAGGATAAAAAAGTTTGAGAGAAATGATATGTTTTATTGCAAAGATCACTTGAAATATTCCCTAGTTAAAACTTAAAAGTGGCCGGTCAAGAGCAAGCAAAAAGGGGGGAAACAAAAAGGATGGAATATAATCAAAGTACAACTGCAATGAAAACCGTACCACCAACGATCTACTAGAAGATGTCTGTTTGAAATGTGGTTGGGAGAGAAGAATTATTTGTTCATCTCACGGCGGTGGCCGGACGAGAACGAGAAAGGATTATTCAACTACACCAAACTCCAACAATTGTGGATAATTCAATTTTTTCTTGTTTTTAAACTCTTCCAGTTGTTTTTTTTTAATTTGAGTCTATTGCTTAAGAGGAAGTAGTTGGGACAAAATGGAGTCTTTACTTCTAGGAGAAACATGTGTGTTATGCATTGAAAGGTGGAACGCCCACCACCCCGGGCGCCCCCATATCCCGGACCGACAGGATTGTGAGAGGATAAATCACGGTATGATCTCAATCTGACCCATAGAGAGGCCGTCATGTGCCCGGTGCGCACAAGAAGCTATTACAAATCAATATAGACCAATTCGTATCCAAACCAATGACCTTCTTCGCTTAACCGTATAAAACTTAACTCAAATTAAAGCACATTGACTCGAACTTAACCCAATGCAAAACACATAAACATTTTGTACACCAACATCATATTATGACACTTGAGCACCATAGGATCTTTAAAAAGGACAATGGCATATCATGGCCCTGACATTGGCTCCAACTGCTAGTGTACTTTACTGTACTCCTTGCATTGTTCATATCCAAGAGTCTTTTAAACACAAGTCAAGGCATTATTTGAATGAGTACACAGAATTAACATTACAAAGAAGAAAATGTTACAGGATACAATATACCAAGTACACATACAAAAAAGAGAGACAAAATTGCAGAGAATAACAAATCTCTACTCCACAAAGTCGAATGTGTCAATAGAATCGGATTCGTTGGGATTGTGAACCATCCGATCAAAGATCCTCCCGTGCTTCGGGTGCCGAACAATGGCCTCCAAGATCCTATCTTCCGACCCCCGGAGCCCCTCCCCTCTCCTGCCACAGCCACGGACTCCATCCGACGTCGAGAACACCAGCTCGGACAACAAGTCCTTCTTGGCTTGCCAGCTGAACTTCTTGGCCTCCATTGTCGACGAAATCAAGTGGTATACATGCACGACCTTTGTCTGTCCTAACCTGTACGCCCTGCTCAAAGCCTGCCTCTTGACCGACGGGTTCCAAACCACGTCCAGCAAAACCACCCTGGATGCCCCTATGAGGTTTATCCCCTCAGAGCAAGCCCTGGTGGAGGCCAAAAGCACTTTCGCTTCACTGCCCGGGTCGTTGAACGTGTTGATCGCCACCTGGCGCTGTTTGCACTGCACGTCGCCGTCCATGTACAGCACCTCCCTCCCCTCCACCCAGTCCAAAACTGCCTCCATCTGTTTCTTGAGGAGGTCCAAAGGGGAAAGGTACTGGCTAAAGACTATGACCTTCTCGGAGTTCAAGTGGCTTAACCGGATAAGCGCGAACACGAATTCGGTCTTTGGGCCCGCATCCGGGTCAAGCTCAACTGCCTCCATTTCGGGTTTGAACTCGGAGAAGCCCGGGACGTCCTTGACAAGGGAAGGGTGGACAGAGATCCTAGTCATCAGGTTGTCCTCTTCAAAGAACTTTTTCTGTGGGGTGACTAGGAACATCCTCTGTTGCAGGGGAGTTGGGTTTAGGTACACCAATGTGGACCGTAACCCGGGGAGACGATCTAAAAGTATAGATCCTTTGTGGACATGGACGAGAGGTGCAATGATGCTCTTGAGCTCCCCCACATCGGGGTTTTTTTCCTTCTCCATAATAGAGGTCGTGAGGCGGTCCCAAATCTTTTTCCCCGAATTCCTCTTTAGAACGTACTTCGGGCACACGAGGCGTAGCGTGTTGTACAGCTCGTCGAAGTTGTTCTGGAAAGGGGTTCCGGAGAGGATAATCCGGCGCGATGTTTCAAGCCTTGAGAGTGCATTCCAAAGGAGGCTCCCATCGTTCCTCGGGGTGTGCCCTTCGTCGAGCACTACTAAGCTTGGGACTTTGAGAAGTATCTTCCTCACCCTGTCGTCTTCGCGGTTCTCGTTCACCCTCACAAGCTGCTCGAAGAGCCGGTAGGAAATGCCCAAGATTCCGGACCCTCTCGCCCACGCGCAGAGCTTGAGCACGCGTTTCGACTCCCACCCCTTGGGCTCGTAGGGGAGGGCAAATCCGTCCGCGGCGTGGGCAAATTCCCTCCCGGACAACGCATGGTTGTTCATGTTGTGGAAAGGGATGTCGACCTCCCATTTCTTGAACTCCGCCTCCCACGTGAGGAGCATGCTGAGAGGGGCAATGATGAGGGGACGACACGTGGGGAAGAGCTTCATGAATGAGAAGAGGAAAGTTATGGTGAGGCGCGTCTTCCCTGTGCCGGGCGCGTGTGAAATGATGCACCCCTGCCCACCATCGGGCGTCAGCTTCTTCAGATTCTCAATGTGAATGTCCCCCGCGATGTTCCTCCACAAGAACTCGAACCCCTCGCGTTGATGCGGATACATTGTTTCTTTGCTACGCCGAGGAAGAACGTCCCACACTGTCCCTCTGGTTGCATGTTCAACAAATTGTATGTTAGCTGAATACGGTTCAAGTGGAAGAAGTCTAGTTGGTAGAACACGTCATTTAAGTATAAAACCTTACCTACAACCACAACCTTGAGTTTTTGGTTGAGTCGTTAAAGAACTAACTCAAGCAAAAGCCCTAGCGCCACAAGTCTGAGCTTTTGGTTGATGTGGTAAAGAACTCACCCAACCAGAAGTTGAAGCTTGTAGTTGTAGTCTCGAGAAAGGTTTTATACTCTTATATACCGGAGGATCCATTCTTGGAAGGGTCAAGACATGAATAAACTATTACAAGTAGACACCAAGAAAATGGGAGATCATATAAATGACTGTAATGTATTATTACCCTCCATCAGAGATTGAAGAACAATGGGGACTCCCAGCAGCCCCGGACGGAAGGCCATAACCAAAAGTATTGTCGTATCCATCAAAGCATTTCGCGTATCGCCTCCCACCAGTTTTAATGGCCTGCACAATGCCATTGAAAAATGATATCTTTTTACACTATCAGTGAAGTAAATAGAACAGCAAAGCACGAAAGGCCAACGGCTTACAAATGAGGGCAGGATGAACCTCCTCTCCCGGTGCACTAATGAACAGTGCTTGCAAATCAGCCCAATCTGCTCATCTAAAATCAGGAAGTGTTTCCCCTTTTTGCAGCAGACTGCTGGAGGGTCGTCTTCGTTCTCTTCAGAATTGCTGCAATCATCTTCTGCCTGCACATTATAACAAACACAGTTTTTTAAACAAAAAAAAAGGATGGGAATGTTTATTTGTGGGATTCCACTGGGTTCTTGTTCTGGTTGATGCTTAAATGAGTATTCTGTAAAATGCAAATCTTGATTACAAGTTTACAACCAACAAGAATGAAGAAGCTAAAGCATTCTGATTGAAACCTACCATGGGTTCAGTGGTCAAGCTCTCTTTGACTTCCTCAAGACTTGATTGAAGATCCGCGAAGAGGCTCTCGATGTCTTTCTCCCATTTGCTTTTTTCCGGTGGAGAAGGATCTTCGTCCTCAAGCCAGAACTTGAGAGGCAACGGCCCTTTCACGTTCTCTTTGGAGAACGACAGCTTTTTCGTGGTGATGCCCGCATCCCCCCATAGTGAGTCCAGAATCATTTTCTTGAGCTCGAAATCTTTCTTCCCACATTTCGACATCTTCATTCTGTGAGGACATTTTACTCTTTTTCTCTTCTTGCCGTTGTGATTCTCTGTGTGTTTTCCCTCTCTGATGGCCTCATAGAATGAAAACTTCTTTGATTCCTCTTCCTTGGAAGCAGGGGAACTGTTTTTAACATTTTTGTGTTTCTTTTCATTGCGGGACTTTATCGGGCTGTCGTTGTTCTTGTTCTTGTTTGGTTTCTTTTTCTTGATTGTAAACTCGGGGACCGAACATGATCTTAGACGAAAAGCGATTCCTAAGTGCGCTTTACCGGTCCTTATATTGCATTTGCTCTTCTTTTTCTTCTTGTCAATCTTTTGTTTGATAACAAAGTCTTCCTTCGCAATCCAAGTGACATCATCATCTTCATCGTCTTCGACATCCATTGGACAAGCACCATTGCCATTGGAGCATTCCATTTTCTTCTTGAATTTATATGTTTTACTGCCCTCATCATCATCCCTATCTGTCAACATTATTACTCTTGAAGTTATACGATTATCCAAGAAGGAAACACGACCACCACCGTCACAGCCACCATGGTTGGGAATCTTCTCACATCCCTCTTCCTCCATTTCATGATCAAACACTTCTTCACCTTCACCTTCTGAAGTAACATTACCATTCCCAGTTTTCTCCTTCCCCATTATACCCTTCTTCACGTTCTTCGAAGATTTCAGCAAAATATCACTGCAACCAACAAAACCAGCATTGCTCTCAATACCTTTCTCCTTCACACCCGCACCTCGGTTTCCTTCAAGAATTTCTCCCAACATTTCATCTTTAGAACTGCGATTTTCTTCCTCGTTTTCTGAATCAACCCTGCTGTTTCCCTTGATTGTAAACTGGGAGGCCGAACGTGTTCTGAGACGAAAAGCAATGCCGAAGAGGGCATTGTTGTTCCTTACATTGCACTTGCTCTTTTTTATCTGCTTGTCAAGCCTCCGTTGATGGTGATCTGAATTGATTACAATGTCTTCCTTCGCAATCCAAGTGACATCATCATCATCATCTTCTTCTTCTTCATTGTCTTCGACAGCCATTAGACGAACACCATCACCATTGGAGCATTCCATCTTCTTCTCCACCTTTTCATCATTCTTCTCCATTGAATTACCCATATCGCCATCATTCATCCCATCATCATCATCAACCCTATTTGTCAACATTATTTCTCTTGAAGTTAAACAGTTATCCAAGAATGGAACATGATCACCATCATCACAGCCACCACTATTGGAAATCTTCTCATTTGACGTATGGCAACGAGATTCATATCCCTCTTCCTCCATTTCTTGATCATGCGCTTCGTCACCACCTTCACCTTCTGAACCAACACTGCCATTCCCAATGTTCTCCTTTCCCATTATACCCTCCTTCACGTTCCTCGAAGATTTCATCAACATTCCAACATTGCTCCCACAGTCTTTCTCCTTCACACTCGCCACCGGGTTTCCCCCAACAATTTTCCCCGCCATTTCATCTTTAGAAACGTGATTTTCGTCCTCTTTTTCTGAATCAACACTACCATTTCCAATATTCTCTTCCACAACCAACCCCTTATTCACGTTCTTGGAAGATTTCAACAACACTTCACCACAGCCACGACCACGGAAACTACTGTTCTTTCCAATGACACCATTCCTCCTCCTCCTCCTTTTCCTACTCTTCTTTAATTCGTCATCACTCTCCTCCTCCTCTACACTCACCGCGGGTTTTCCCCCAATAATTTCATCCGCGGGGCTGTCATCTTCTTGATCCTCTTCATCAATGGCCACTACAATTGGAAAGCTGTCACCTTTTCCAAGACAACCAATATTGCTGGTCTGGTTTTGCTGCTTCTTCCTCTTCTTCTCCTCATTCCATTCCCTGCAAAAGTCACCCCACTGCCTCCTCGTATATATCCTCCTACTGAAATCCATTCCTGTACCTAAACAAGTAACAAAACAAAACACCCAAATCAGCCCAATACAAAATAAATTCCCAAACAATTAAACACGTAAAAGCAAACCTCCCAATGGAAAATGTCAAGAAAAAATAATCCCACGCACTCATCTCATTCTAATAACTGAAGTTTATCAACTGAACTAAAATGCAATTTCAAACCCAAAAAAGAAAAGAAAAAAAAAACTCATTTTTATCTGCTAGGGACCAATTGCAAGTACTTTTATAAGAACACAGAAACACCCAAGAAAGATCGATCGCATGCATTGATAAACAGAGCTCATAGGTAAAGGGGAAAAAAATCTAACCGGAGATGACAATGGCGGAAGCGTCAGTGAGTCACCCCACCATTTTTTGGCGAGGAGCTACAAGAGATAGAAAGGACTTTTAAGTGGCTAGCTAGTGCCCCTATTTGGGTCACTCACAGTTACCGTGCCCCACACTGTTCATAGTACCTGTTTGGAGTAGTTTTTTTTTTTTAAAAAAATGCTAGACTAAAATAATAAATAAATAAAAATAAAATAAAAATGAGTGGTGGAGAAATGAGTGGAGAACAAATAGGGTACACTTTTGGTGTACCCCTAGTATTGCTCATTTTTTTAAAGAGAAAAATGCATTTACCTATATGGAAAAAAATTCAATAATGATAGATGTACACTAAAATGTAATACCCTATTATACACTAAAGTCACTGCTGGCTCAAGCCAAGGGCAAGATGGCCTCGGGCCCAATAGTAGATGGGGCCCCACTTTTTTGTAAATGTATTACATATATTTATTTATTATTTAGTTTTTTATATACTTTTCGTCTTAATTTAAATCATCTATTATTATTTATAATGTTTGATTGTAATTATTTTTAATTTATTTTATTTTAAAATTAGTGTAGAATTAAAAATAAAATTTACATATTTAAAAAAATACATCAAAAGTCTTATATCAACCAATTGGATCTCAAAAATGCTAGAAAAACTACAGGAATCTTTGGCTAGTTATTAACGTATGTAATTATAGATTTATAAGACTACACACTTGACTTTTTATTATTCTTATTACTATTGTACAGAGTAATTTTTTTATTACTAAAAATATAATTTATAGATTTTGCTTCATTATGACACGATGACCGATTTTCTCAGTGTTGTTCAGGGCCCATATTTTCTCGGAGACCGCCCTGACCAAAGTGTTGTACTCTATTAATCTACTCCCTCTGTCCCAATTTATTTGCAACACTTCGAACGACGTGCAAAATATCATCTCTTTTAAAATTACTTTAATTTCAAATTGGTAGAATAATAAAAAGTAAAAATTACACTATTCAAAAGTATATGAAAAGTTCTACAAAATAAGATGCAACAAGAATATTTTATTTAATCAAATGGTCAACCAAAACGAGTAAATAAACAAAAGTTATCGAGAGGTCAGAATAGTAACTGTGGCATTCTTTCTGGGACGGAGGGAGTATTATAGATACAAACAGATACTTTATGCCGGTGCGTATCTGTGGAATATCTCATTTTGTCGTACCCCTAACATTCTCAAAAAAATAGTCCTTTTTAATTAGATTTCACAAAAAGTATTTTACATTGAGTGAGCAGATTTGAGTACATTTTGTTAAAAGAACACATAAATTTTTTAATGTTTCTTCCGTTTTAAAATTTTCTTCTCATTTCTGTTTATAAGGTTTAACCGACTTTATTTTTAATCCAATTTATTTGATTGTAAGTGTAAAATTAAAAAATAAAATTTATATATTTAAAAACTACATCAAAAATTCCAAAAAAATAATAGATGACAAGATTATATTATTTTATCAAATAAAAAACAAAAATAGTTAAAGAAAATGATTAAAATATGATTTTCTTAAAATGAGTGTCCTAAGTTTTTCTCAAAAAAAAAACCAACATTTTTGTGTTCCCGCAGGATATCGCTCAGCTCACGGTCGCTCGGTCGCCGTTGCAGCGGCCGTTCACTCATCTCCGTTAACAGGTCAGTTGAGTAGAAAAGTTCATTCTTTTATTGCATTTGTTTTGAGATTCATAGACGGCTAAGAGGGTAACAAAATTTGGATTTTGAGTTTGATCATGATTTGCTTGTTCTTTTCTTTCTTTTCTGCGAAAAATAAAACAAAAGTCGTTTCTTTCTTTTCAAAAGTCGAATTGTGTTTCTTTTACTGTAAAGATTGGTTTTTAAACCCTTTAATCATGAAACATGCACCACTCTGAGCAATTGCTGAGATGTTGAATAATCATATGTATAAGACTATAAGCTCTCTCTCTCTTTTCTTTTCTTTTTTTTTTTGTTTGTTTGTTGAGGAAAGCTCTCTTTGTATTGATTACTCTGAGCAATTCTTTATTTAATTTATATTTAATTTATAGTCAAACAGTGCCACAGTTTGTCAAATTGTGGCAATCTTTTCGACAGGACGGAGGGAGCATGTTCTTAATCAATGGTTTGCATTTGTTTGTACAAAATCAATCCAAACCGAACCGCAATTTTATCTCTGAGTTCCATCTTTGGTTTTGGGTAGAAACCGAACCCACCCCTACTCTGCGGTGCATGTAAGGTTTCTAATTGAGGCCTACCCTATGTTTTTAAATATTTGTATGATACACATTTTTTCAAACGTGTAAAGGACAATTGAAAAGCTTCTGCACTCAAAGACATTTTTTGAACTACTGTGTTTTTTAAAAAAAAAACAGTACATGACTTAAACCCAACAATGTTTTAAAGTATGCATAAGACAACAAAAAAAGGAATTTTGTAGCACTCAAAGATCACTTACATTTTTTTCACCCAAAAAAGTACGGAGTATGTATTAGACAATTTTGGTACCAATTGTTTTTAGGGATTTGGAAGCACATTTGAAATGTATGAAAAAGTTAATTTTTTTCTTAACAATGATTTTGAGAGTTTGTGTTTGTTTCCAAAAAAAGAGGGAATGCTTTGATTATGTAATGTCTTAGAAAACATAGTCATATGGTAATGTTTTCTCTTGCTTCTGTATATTTTCATGGCAAACTTCATTTTTTATTTGCTCTTAGACCGATAACGTTATCAAAATGTGGTGGCAAATTGTGCTTTCTGCCAACAAAATAATGTGGGTGGAAAGACATTGTTGCTTGTGCTAGGTTAATTAGATTTGGATTAGTCCATGGCTTCTTCATGTTTCTGCCCACCAAAACACGCCCTCTCCATCTCCAGACCCAATCGCACCTTCCTCGGAGCCACTCCTCATGACTTTGCCCCTCGGCTCCCCTCCTGTTTTATTCCTTCATCCTGCCGTTCGGTGTCCACTGCTGTGACTCCACTGAAGGTCCAAGCAAATTCAGCAGTTCCTTTAATGGACTTGTCTCTGAGCAAAGCTTCTTCTTCGGTCCCAACGGTTGTTGAAGTGGATGTCGGGAACCATAGCTACCCGATCTACATAGGTTCTGGCCTCCTTGATCGACCCGAGCTTCTCCAAAGGTAATTTGTCTATGTTTCCATAATTGAAATTTCTTGTTAGCTGATATGAAGCTTTGCTTTCGTAATTGTAGTTCACTTCTCTGTTGCCTTAGCTCATGATCTAGCTAGTTTCTGTTGTCAATTTCATGATTAGCGGATCGTTATATTGTTTGTGCTTTATTGCAGGCATATTCACGGAAAGAGAGTTCTTATAGTAACAAATACGACAGTTGCTGCTTTATATCTGGACAAAACTATCAGTGTTTTAACATGTGGAAATCCTAGTGTCGGTGTTGAAAGCGTGATCTTGCCAGATGGAGAACAATTTAAGAACATAGTAGGTGTCTTGTGACATGGTAGATGAAAGTTTGACTTGGGTTATGTATGTTGAGTTTGGCTTTTTTGTGTGTAGGATACTCTCATGAAAGTTTTTGATAAAGCTATTGAATCACAACTGGACCGACGGAGCACATTTGTCGCCCTCGGTGGTGGAGTTATTGGTGACATGTGTGGATATGCCGCCGCTTCTTATCTTCGTGGGGTTAATTTCATTCAGATTCCTACAACTGTTATGGCACAGGTAGATTGAGTTTTCATTTTTTCACCCTAGAAACTAGAGAAACGTTATCTTGTGCCTGATTGTATTGTTTGTTTTTTTACTATTCCTTTAGGTAGACTCTTCAATTGGGGGTAAAACTGGAATTAACCACCCGCTTGGTAAAAACATGATCGGCGCCTTCTACCAACCTCAATGTGTGCTTATAGACACCGATACTCTGAATACACTACCAGACAGAGAGCTAGCTTCTGGCATTGCAGAAGTTGTAAAATATGGGCTTATCAGAGATGCAGACTTTTTTGAATGGCAAGAGAAGAATATGCAAGCATTGTTGGCAAGGTAAACTTTGTTATTCTTGTTGATGTTTTAGTCTCACTCGAGTCGGTTCTATTTTTATTGTCCCAAAAGCTTGTTGCATATAAGAGTCTAATATTAAGTTATTTTTAAATGAGTTATTTGCGCCGTTTACCCCTTAACTTTCCAGAAAATGCGCGGATTTGCCCTGAACTTTAAAATTTTAAAAATTGAACCAATGTCTCCTGAACTTTTAAAAATGTTGCACTTCTAAAAACTCATTGTTAAATATGTCCCCGATTATTCGTTCTTCACAGACTTATTGCATATGTGCATTATCTAATTGAAAGACTACGCGTATCCATCATTTGTGTTGTTTGTGAAGGGACCCTGATGTATTCGCTTATGCTATCAAGCGCTCATGTGAAAACAAGGCTGAAGTGGTATCATTGGATGAGAAAGAGAGCGGATTGAGGGCTACATTGAACTTAGGCCACACCTTTGGTCACGTAAGTTCTTGGCATTTTTTGCGGTGGCGCTCTATTTTTGTAATTTTATTAGAAAGACCCATAGTTTCGCTTAATTTTATATGTTTATTTATACGTAATTGTTGTGCACGAGTGTTTTTCTATTTAGTCATCTACTTCTTCAGTTTCTTGTAAGAATAAAATGCGATGATTTCTTGAACGGGGTTTTCTTGAACATACACATTTTCTATTTTCTTTCCCGCCAGAGATGTTTTCTTTCAGCTGTGTTTCTTGAAGCTGCACGTTTCTTGACAGGCAATAGAGACCGGTGTTGGCTATGGCCAGTGGCTGCATGGTGAAGCTGTAGCTGCTGGAACGGTACTTTTTGCTAATGTATATGGATGCATCAATATATAGCGAATGGAAACATCATATATTTGATTCCTGAAAACTTGGTGCTTGATCAATCATTTCAGGTTATGGCTGTGGACATGTCGCGGCGCCTTGGGTGGATTGAGGATTCAGTTGTACAACGGGTGGATCATATTCTTCAACGGGCAAAACTGCCAACTACACCTCCAAAAACGATGACAGTTGAGAAGTTTAAGTCCATCATGGCTGTAAGAGAATTAAATTATTTCTCCACCTTTATAACCACACAATTTCACAAAGTAAAAAAGCAAATGGGAAGAATAGATAGTGACAAAAGGAATACTTTTTAACATCAATATTAACTATATTTGTTCCAATGTAGGTAACCTGTTTACTATTGACATGGTCAAACCTGAATCAATTTCTTTATTTATTTTTGTTACTCATTTTATAAAATAATACTCCGTATAGTCAATGTCACCTCTTTTCTGTAGGATTTTTTATGTAGTTTTAAATATATATATTTAATTTTTTTATCTACCCTAATTTTCATATAAATTCATTTGAAAATAATTTCAGTCAAACATCGTAAACAACAACACGCAACTTAAAATGAGACACAGGGAGCACAATCTTACTAATGTTTAATTTGTGTCTCCCATATTCCAAAAAAATAATGGGACACAAGAGGTAATAAAGTTATTTTCTACATAGTCGTCTAAAAATGACAGGTCGATAAGAAAGTGGCTGATGGGGAGCTAAGACTGATCCTTTTGAAAGGTCCGCTTGGCAATTGTATATTCACCGGTGACTACAACAAGAAGGCCTTAGACGAAACGCTCCACGCATTCTGCGCATCATAGTATTCGTCAAATCGTCATGGCGGTAGGAGAATACATTTCTCCAATACATTCTTAATAGTGTCAGAATCTCCATTTCTTGAGATGGCAAACTACTTTCAAGAGACGTTTACAACATGTTTCTTTGTCTATTTGTATATTTAAGAGTCATCTTTGACACATTTGTTTGTTCATATGTGTGAGAGTTTTTTCTATTCGGAATTTAATGAATTCAATCGCTGGACAAACTTATTGGGTCGGTGTTACGTTGTATAGTGTTGTATTATTTCTCTTGTAAAATTAGAAGTCGATGAAATCAATAAAAAAAATGATAGACAAGGAATTGTTGTGTTTTTTAATAATATTGACTCTATTACAAGGTAGTATCTGTCACAACAAGTCAATGCTTCCACCTCTATTAGGGTTCGAACTTGGGTGAATTTTCCCTAAATCCTAAAGAATGGACTTCCTACCACTATATGTTGTAATGAATTTCTATTCATATTTTAAAGTCAATGCTTTCTGTTTATATTTCTAAGTATCAATGGACTTTGTAGAAAGACTTCTATAGTTTTATTGATATTTTGAAGGTCATTGATTTTATATGAATGATTTGTGTTAATTTTAAGAAGTCCATGGACTTTTATTTGGACAAAAAATATTTATAGGATCGAGTAAAATGTATTGATATACGAATGCTTCTTTTATATCCATGGTTTTATATTAAGGCCCAATTTAACCAGAAAAGTTCAACTCTCAATATAAAGAGAAGAAAGGTTCAACCAAGGAGAAAAAAGAAGTAAAAAAAAACAACGTTAAATCTGGATTCCACACTAAAAACATGTCACCCAATATGCTTACAGACACAGACACAGCTATTTGATAAATCTGGATTCTGGGATCAAATAATGTGTCGTTTTTTTCATTCACACTATGTTTACACACTGAAAGAATGTCTTTTTGTTTACCTTACTTTCATCACTCTGCCATTGGGAAAGCAGATCCAATTTTGTCTCCCATACGATAGCACTTGATGTTAACATAGTACGGACCGATCTCAACGTGGTTGTCTTCCCCTCCCACGAAGAAACACAGAGTATAGAGCGCGAGTTCAAACTCTGGGCTCACTCCCACCAAAGTGCTCGAGACCGATTTCAGTACGCCGTTCCATTCAAACTGAACTGTCAAGAGCTGTGTCTCCGAGTCGGGCTGAGGAACGATAAGGAGAGAGAGAGAGAAAATAAGAACCTTTTAAATGTACCAATAGAGGGAAAGAAACAAGATCACTTACAATTTGTCCTCGTCTTCGAGGAAAAATGTATCCTTGATAATCTACATTGCCCTTTGCTTCTTCCAGATAAAACTACAAAGAACAAAAAGAAAGTCTTTGAGATTAAGGTGTTGAAGAGGGGGTTAATTGGAATGGTTGGATCACCATTTATTTAAAAAATTAAAAAAAGAAAATAAAATTGCTAGCTCAGTCAGTAGAACGGTGGAGTAGATAATTATTTTACCTGAAGCCAATTATGGAAACCAGAAACTTCTCCCCCACCACGCTCTTTAATTTCTCCAACAAAAACATGTTCGAAAGCGGAAGAAGAGCCAGATGTACCACCTCGGCCATAAAGGTCAAACCAGATGCTTGCCAACCTTCTCTTGAACTCCTGATAACTTTCAGAAACCACACCTTTTGCAGACAGATACTTGTGTAAATATTTTATAGGGGCAGTTCTACTGATCTCTTCGACAAATGCCAACTGCTCTTGCTGTTCTTGAGCTGTTACAACTTCTTTATATCCCTCGTGCGGATTGTAATTATCTAAAAGAGAACAAAATCGAGAAAATGTAGGCTTCTGCAGAGCATCTTCACTAAGCCAGGAAAACAAGCTTCCATCTGCCATATCCTCCCTTTGGTGCACCTTTTTTCCTTTGCCAACATCAATCTGGTAATCCTTTCCTGGAACCAAACGATTTACATCGAGTTCCCAGAGTTTGTTACAAGCTTTTGATAGGTTGGCAAGCTCTTCTCCCGAGGGATCCAGGTCAGCACCATACTCAACCTCATTGGAGTAGTCTTGCTCACTAGCAGGTTTCTTGTAATTGTCCCAGTGATCCATATGTACCTGTTCAGAATTAAAGTTTAATGAGTAATAAAACAACCCAGATGAATCCCACAAGAGTATGGTCTGGGGAGGGTTTGTGTACGCAGACCTTACCCCTACTCGAAAGTAGAGAGGCTGTTTCCGAAGAGACCCCCGGCTCAGCATTGAAAGTTGCATTGATTGACAAACTGCTACTTCATTAATTAAAGAAGCGCTTTATAGATCGGTTTTGCTTTATTCTATCACACCCCAAAGCCAAAAAATAGTGAATTTTTGGCTCCATCGGAGATGATGGAAATAAAAAACTAAATTTATTTATTTTCTTGAAGAATATATGCCACCAAACCTGCAGAAAAAACCTGCTAAAAGAGTGATAACTCGTCTTGATGCCCATATCATATACTATGTACTAAACCCTCTTATATCTGCATTTTTTTATCACCAACAAGTATCACTCTGCTTAAACCATAACCAAACACGAGATAGATCTTAAAAATTTTAACCGTGACTAATTACTCAATTTAATAATTCAGTATGCATCTTGGCTAGGAAGATGGTTTAGCTTTTGAATTATGAACCATTGATTTGACTTGGAACGCATGCTCAAGTGTTGATTCTATTTTCTAAGGACAAGCTGCAGATCAATGCTGGCTATAGAAAGTGTCAGTTCAAAGTACAAAGAATAGAACTTAAATGGTATTTCCAGTAGAAAATTTTTCACTTCTAGTCCCACGACTATGAGGGTCATTTTCATTTTTGGTCTTCGACTTTCAATTTGTTCACTTTTTTGTGCACGACTCTAAATTTCCTCGTTTTTGGTCCTTCCGAACTGGGCGGGAGCCTTTGAGGCACGGGGATAATGTTGTTGTTGGTCCTTCCTAACTAGGTATGTGATTAGGAAGGAGCAAAAGTGGCAAGAAATTCATATTCATGCACCAAAATGAGTAAAGTTTTCATTTAAGTTACTCAGCACAGATATACAGATATACAGAGCAAACTGTTCCCTTTTTTTTGTACTCAACCTATTTTTCATATTATTGTTGTAGTGAATATTTTGGTATGAATGCCTATCAGCCTATGCGTGTAAGTTGCAACGTGTACATCGAATGTATTTTTTTAGATAAAAAAGGTATTATACAATATACATATTACATAAAACTAAAGTAGATTGATCAAGTTATATAAGACACTTCAACACTTGAATCAAGGATAAGTGACCTAAAGAGAGGATGATAGAGAACCTTTTGTTGTCTCTTTGAAGTCTTCTTGTGAACATTTTCCCAGCCCTCACTATTTGCCTGGTCAACCTGCACAGATCATTTGGGATTTCTTAAGACCATTGCCAGCTATACATAACAAATATGACTTCTAAATACGCAACACCTTTTCATTCATATGGATTTGACCATAAAAATTCTGCACTCTCTCTTCATATCCTTGATGGGGGTTGACATTGTTCTTCTGCCTGCTGTCTTCATATCTTTCACGGTGCTGGCCAGAATCGCCCTGCATTTTTCGAATGAGTAAGTACCTAGAATAATCCATTATCCATCAAAGATATACATTTTCCAATTTTTTTAAATTTGACCAACACAGTCCCCTATTTTTGTCCTGTCTTTTGTTAACCAGATGCACAAAGATTATTTAGGGACGATAAAAAAACAAAGTAAATCAAAAGTGGACCGAGTATATCCCGAATCAGCATTTAAAAATGAGGGCACGCATGCACACACACAAATTATAGCTTAACTGCATTTATGGACAAACAGGGATGATTCAAAGCCAGAAAATGTTTTAAACTCCATATATCTCCAAATCAATTATGATTAGGCTACATTTGCCAACCAGTTGGTAGTTGTTGGATATTGCATTGGTGGTTTTAAGTCGCGGTTCGGGTCAGATGTTTTAGGTAGTTCTTTAATTTGTGTCACTTGTTTTTGAAAACATGTTTGGTCAAAAGGAGCTGTTGAAAGAATTCCTAATATAGCGCTATTTTTATTTCGTGAAACAAGCTCATATGCCTTAATCTCTAGTCTCTCCCGGCGGAGCTTAACAGACTTGGTGCCAGCAGAAGTGTTGTGTCATAAATATAAATCTAATTTGAATAGATAAATTACTTATTTTTTCCCTTACTTTTTGTCATGCTGTTGTTTTAATGAAAAGAAAGTTTATTTTAAAAAAAAGAATTCAAAGTACTATAATATCATTTTTTTCATAATTTACAGTATAGCAAAATTGCTTTTTTTAGCCAAAATAAACTTATTTCTAAAATAAGAAATCAAATATATATTTTGTTGCAAAACGTGACCTAGAGACTGGTTGTTTGGTTCATACTTCATAGGAGGGAGTGAGTGTATTTTAAAATAATCAAAACAGCTAATCCCAAAACGTTTCAAACCATTTTGGGCATGTTTGAGATTAGCGTTAGAGATTAGCGTTATCGTTTTGGATAAAATTTTAATGGTGCAAATTATTTTGAAAACACTGTCCGTAGATAGTCTTTTCAAAACGCTAACGCTAATCTCTTAAGTTATTCCCAAACAGACCCTTACTCATTTTAGATTATAAAAAAACTTGTCCAAAAAGATGGCAGCCAAACAGGTCATTAAACCGTTAGAATTCCTCTTTTACTAAAGACTCAGCCATGCTATGCTAAAAAAACGAGCACGGAATACCTCTCTTCCATAACCATGTCTGCGATCGCCGTTGATCTCGTCTTCATCCTGCTCCCCTGACACCACCTGCGCAAAATAGCATCCGCAATCAAACATCGGAAACGAGGCGATTGAGAATCGGAAACAGGGGAGGAGGAGCACTAACCTGCGCCCAAGTGGATCTGGATCGTCCGTCGTCGCCATCGTCGGAACTGCGGCGATCGCCTCCGTCCCCTTCGTCGTTGCCCAATGCTATGTTAATCAAACCCTTCACCAGTCCCTCCATTGATGTGTCTGTTTAGAGAGAGTGAAGATTTTGTGCGTGGGTGTCTTGTAAGAGATGAAGCAGTGATGCAATGTCTATCCAACACTAATGGGTCGTTGAAAATGGATGGGGAAATCATTGTTGAGGTAGGTTTGTTAGGTACTCGTTCTGAAAAAATTGGAGTAAAAAATAAAGATTAAATTCTACTCAATACTCAGTAAAAAATAAAAATTATATATTTAAAAAAATAAATCAAATGTTATACTCCAAAACAAAAAGTGATAAGAATATTTTATTTTATCAAGCGGCCAATGAAAAACATGTAGGAAAATAAAAATTATCGAGATATCTTAATAGTAGAAAGGTAAATCATTTTGGGACGGATGGAATAAAACAGTACGTCTGTGGTTCTTTGTGTATATTCCACAAATACCTCTTTGTTTGATCTTCCATTAACTTGAAAATTAAGTGTTTATTTCACAATAATGACTATGGCTACTGATTTGAATTTCGATCAGTGACCAGATTGTGGATATGATTGTGGTGGGCGATGACTTAGAAGACAAATGATACATGAAAAACGACCTCTAGCAATTGTTATGACAACAATGATGCAGAGCGCGTGTGAAGTTACAATTTTAGCTCTCGTCAATTTAATACCAATATGACAAAAAGTATAAGATAAATTGTCCGTGAAAACGTACCCAATGGGAAATCTAAAAAGCTGTGTAATTGGGGACAAGAATACTATAGGGGACAAAAACCTGTAGTCCTGTACCAATCTCTAAAATATTTCTTTGAGGAGATGTGAAATAATAAAAAAACATAATCCCTCAGTCCCTAAAATACTTTTCTCTTTTTAGTTTTTCCCATCACAATAAGTCTTTCTATTTTATACTCCGTATTAAAAAGTTACTTTTATCTCTAATAATTTTTATCATATCTAGCATCACATATATTCACTGCTAATTTACCATCATAATCTACTTTTACTCATCACATCAAGAATAAATTAGAGAAGTCAAAATAGAAATATCTCTTTTTTAATTTTTAGTAAAGTCAAAATATGAAAGAGATTACAGGACGAAGAAATTAAATTTTCTGTGAAACAAGCAATCAAATAACTAATAAGAAAGTTTTGACAATACCCCAAAATGTCTTTAAAGTACGGTCAAAATTCTTTCATTAATTATTTGTGAATCTATGGGTAGAGAAGGAGAAGGAAAGAGTAATGTGTTGGAGAAGAAGAAAGGAGTGTGTGTATTGAATTCCTCCCCCCCCCCCCCCTCCTTTAAGAGGGTATAAATAGGGGTAGAGTATGACTAGGGTTTATGTCCAAACTAATATACGAAACTAATGGGTCGGCCCAACAATCTGGGTCGCCCCTAAATAAGCAATCAATGTATGGCTAACGGGCTGATCCAACAGACTGGACTGCCCCAATTAATATTATACAAAGACCGGATATCTCATTTCCAAGGTATCCATCATGAGTCCACTACTTTCCGAGTCGAAAGGAACTCGAGGGGTCGAGGTGAAGTGGAAGTAGAACAATAATCCACCACGGAAGTGCTACCAACTCGCTGTCCTGAGTATGACAAGTAAGACAATTTACGCCAATCTTCACGAAGTGGTACCAAACAGCTCTCCGGAGTGGTAAGGAAAAACTACACCAATCAATATGAGATGCACTGCCAACTCGTTGTCAAGAGTGGCAAAGCAAGAAAAAAACAACATAATCTGCTCATTGTCTTGAAAAGATTTTCTCTTGTACAAAGTACATTGTCGGATTGCTGTCCCAAGCGCAACGAACATCATAAGCGTGGATGAAGAAATCGTCATATGCAGTTTGTTTGTCATCTTCAAGGATCCGCCCATAGTTCCATCGATGCGTGATCCACTCCATGGGGGATGTCTCATTATAAACTTGCCGAGGAAAAAAAACCTATGAGGATGGGAAAAAATCCTCGGTCAAGAAAAGAGTACATCACGTCCCATAAGGTGAATCAAGAAAAACGTCGTTAGGGTGTGAGGCCTTTTGGGTAAAAGAAGCTGGGTGAATCTCAGAAGAGCTGGTCGATTTCTAAAACCCCAGACTCGTTGTCCAGGGTTGAGGGGTAATCTCCATAATGCATTGGCAAAGAGTGCATGTTGATACAAACTGATATAGTGCGATACATGGTTGGGATGTTGATCTGTCAAGCTCTCATGATGTGGGATGTAGCAATCACGAGCCGAGCACCCGAAGCCCCCCACCCCCTAAGCCAGGGAAGAATTCCGAGGTGAAGGGGAGTAATGCCCATGCTCGGATCGGGCGGGAGTCCTTGGTCCCCTCGTTTTCAAAAGTGATGTCAATATAATTTACTAACGTAAATATAGTGTGATACTAGTTTTTCTTAAAGAACCATTTAACGTAACGAAAAATTATCAAAGAAATACTCCTTAACCTTTAGTTACAAATTCCAATTATTAATGGAGTACTATCGAGGTTATTTCGAAAAATACTTTATCAAGAACAATATTTTTAGGATTAAAAAAAAGTGGTCGTGGAGTATATTTTTTAGGATTAACTTAGGGTACACTAACATGAGATATCCCATTTGTACACCAAGCTAACACGGACACATAATGTCTGTATAGGTTGATCAGGCACAAACATTATGTTCTATATCTGTCTGTGTTAGCTTAGTGTACAAATGAGATACCCATATTGACAGTCCTATTTTTTAACAAGCCAAGCTTGGCTTTTCCATACAGGCTCGATTCGACTCGGCCCAATGTAGAACCACCCACAGGTCGGTTATCCATTCCCACGCGATGGCTTGTCCTCCTAAATGTCATCCCTCTTTAGCGGCACTCTCAATCCGTCTTCAGCCGCACGCCGCCGCCGGAAGCGCCTCTCTTTATAAACGCATACACACACGTAAAACTGTTGCATACCCGTAGTCCCGTACCAATCTCAACCCTAATCCGAGCCCGCCTCTGGACGAATCCCTAATTTCGCATCGTATCCAAACAATGGATTCACAGGTCAACAATCTCTACGACACCGCGTCGCAGCCGGACACCGGCAACGACGACGCCTACACGTTTCTCGAGTTCAATACTCAAGGCGAGGACTTCGATTACCCGGAGTTTCGCGAGCTTTCCCAGCCTATTCGATCGCCTGCGTGGCCCACGCCATCGGATTCTTTGGTCTCTGAATCTGCCGCAGACAGGCCTCCCTCCTCGGATGCCTCGCCATCGGCTAAATCCCGTAGTGATGGAGCTGGGAATGGCGCCGGTGGAAGTAGTAATAGTAATAGTGGAAGTCACCAGGCTGCCACTGTTGATGCCTTGGTCGCCGGGATGAGCGGATTGAACTTTGAGGAGACTGGGGATGAAGAGGGTTTTGAGTACGGAAAGGGGAATTTTGCAGTGGAGCATGCTTGTAGATATTGTGGTGTCACGAATCCTGCTTGTGTTGTGAGGTGCAATGTGCCATCTTGTCGCAAGTGGTTCTGCAATTCCAGAGGAAACACTTCTGGATCGCATATTGTCAATCACCTAGTAAGTTTAAAAGGAGATGCAACCCTTTATGCCTGATATATTTTGCTCTCTTGATGCCCTGAACTGGTTTCTTGGCCACTTCTGTTATAGGTTGATCAGTGCAGCGTTGAATTTAAAATAATGGGTTTCCTTATTATACTTTTCCTCATCATTTTATGGTGTACTATCTCCTTCAAAATGATACTCCGTATTCCTTTTACACCCTTTTTCATTTTCATATTTATAATGTGATGCTCGGGTGTTGAGTCAACTAGGGTAAGTGAAATACAAGAGCACCTGAAATGTTTCCCTGTAGATATACGTTAGCACAGTTGTAACCTGAACAACATCAGACATCCTATAATTCTTTTTTTAATCTGCACATTTTTTGAGCTTAGGAAGTTTTGTGTAGTTGCTTAAGTATCTGGCAGGGCAGGGATTCAAAAAGTGATTATGTAGTTTAAGTTTAAAAAATAGATTTCAACATCAAGAAATGCTTATTTGAATGAATGCACTGTTTTACGTTGGCAGCTGCAATGTGTCATGGCCTTGCTTATGCTTTCTTCACAGCTTCCCTAGTTACATTGAATCTACTTACTGCTCGTGGTTCTGAGATCCCTACTTATAGTATCTGATTCAACTTATTAGCAATGTTGTGTATACCAAGCTAGAATTTGAATGTTAATTAACTGTAGCTAATGGTTTGGAGCTTTGGGAAACAAATGTTCTCATTCCAAAATACCATTTTTGGTGAAAGTTTTGTTGAAAAAACTGTATATATTGCCACTAATGTACTTAAGGATGATGGAAATACTTGGATATGAAAATCTTTCTCTGATTCTTAAGAGACTTGTTACCCGTGAGCTAATGAGATCCTTTGTGATGGATTTGGCTATTACAGAATTGGTCGTGAAGGCCCGTGATAAGCAATATATGGTCTGTATCATTAGTTTTCAATTCTGGGATTTTGCAATGTGAAGGTGGCTGCTACAGCTGGAATTGGTTTTAATTTTTTTTTAAAAATACTAAATATATTCCATTTCCAAAGTCGGGGAAGCATAGTATGTAATCAATGTCATGAAATGCTCAAATGCCGATATAGGGGCCAATATTTCGCCATAGTGTTGCCATAGGACAATATTCTTCAATCTGCACAAATTGCCCTATGGTGTTTGACGCAAAAAATCCCATGCTATTTTGCCATGCTCACAATTTGTGAACTGTTAAACAGAATTAAAGAATTTCTAAATCATTTGCTCATTTACATCTTTTGTAAAGGGCAGTGCTTTGGTGAGACTTCATATAATCCTTTATTTTTGTCAAAAGTGTGTTTGTTTTATTCTTTTTTTTTTACTTAAGTTGTTAAGGCAAATCACGCTCATCTAGAACTCATTAATGTGTTATAAACTCAAATATCAGTTGAAATTAATTGCCAATGATATTTGTGCTACCTGTTTTCCATGTTTAACTTCATGTTTAACTTTGTAGGTTCGAGCAAAACACAAAGAAGTGTGTCTTCATAAAGATAGTCCACTGGGAGAGACCATTCTAGAGTGTTACAATTGTGGTTGTCGAAACATTTTTCTTTTAGGCTTCATCTCTGCCAAGACAGATAGTGTTGTCGTTCTCCTATGTAGGGAACCTTGTTTGAGCGTTAATGCATTGAAAGATATGAATTGGGATCTGAGTCAGTGGTGCCCTCTCATTGATGACAGGTGTTTTTTGCAGTGGCTTGTTAAGGTTTGGGATGCTTTTAAGTTTTTTGTTTTTTAGGTGCATTTTTTTGTTTATTTGTTATTCTTCGGTTATCTTGCTGGTTGTATTTATGACGATCATAGAGTAATAGTTGAAAAATCTCTTTATGATTGACCATTACAGGTCCCATCAGAACAGGAACAGCTGAGAGCTCGCCAGATTAGTGCTCAGCAAATAAACAAGATCGAAGAACTGTGGAAGGCAAACCCTGATGCTACCCTTGACGATCTTGAGAAGCCTGGAGTGGATGATGAACCTCAACCTGTTGTCTTGAAGTATGAGGATGCATATCAGGTGTCTGTACTCTATAGTTGGTATCAGACTCTAGATGTAGTTAATTTGCTTACATTTGTCTGAAAACTGTGTCAACTTTACTTTCCCTCATCTATGATAGATTGGATGTTTATAGCGCTTCTCTTTAATTGCTACCATTCTGTTTCTTTGCAGTACCAAAATATTTTTGCTCCTCTGATCAAGCTTGAAGCTGACTATGATAAGGTGTGTGGTGTATTATTTCTTTGACAATTGCTCGTGGCTTTCTCTTCTTTGTGTGATGGGGAAGAAATTGTCTTTTTCTTTTGTCAATCAGTCCCTCTTGTTTTTCTTGACTTATTTTCTGGAGGCATATATTGTGTGCCTAAATTCAATGATTACTTCGATTTAGCGGATCATCCCTGCCTTAAAAAGCATATGCATAATTACATATGTTCACTGATTCTTTGATGTTTATCACTTTATCCACCTGCACTCATTTGAGTATTTAATTATGCAACTTATTTATTGCTTATATCTTGTGCAGATGATGAAAGAGTCTCAAAGTAAAGACAATGTTACTGTTCGTTGGGATATTGGTCTCAATAAGAAACGTATTGCATACTTTGTTTTCCCAAAGGTACTTTATTAGCCTTTTCCTGCTTTGGTACATGCAGTGTTGCAACTGAGTTGCATAGTATCCTGCTTTTTTTCTAAAGTAAGAATTTCCTTGGCAGGAAGACAATGAGCTGCGATTGGTACCTGGTGATGAGCTGCGGCTGCGTTATTCAGGAGATGCAGTTCATCCAGCTTGGCAATCAGTAGGGCATGTGGTATGTCATCTCACCTCCGTTTCTGGAAAAGTTAAAATTCCATTAGGAAAAAGATACTCCGTATATTTCCTTGGCAACTGTAGATATATAGAGATACGTGTGAATTTTGGGGTTCAATTTCATTCATACTCGCTAGAAGGGCCGCTTATTGTTTTGAATTACTTAACTTCTTGTGGGATGGAGACGGCCATGACTAATTTGCACGCAAAGTTCTTTTACTATTTTGATAAATGCATTGAATGAATAAAAATTTTCCAGATAAAATTAACTGCACTAGAGGAGGTTGCCCTTGAACTTCGTGCTAGTCAGGTATGTTGCACTCTGGTTTGTTACTATGATTCCAAACCCCTTTTTCCTTCTAGCATGCGCTTTAAACTATTCCTGGTTTTTTGCTGCAACCATTTTCAAGGGTGCTCCAGCTGATATTAGTCATGGGTTTAGCGTGGACTTTGTTTGGAAGAGTACCAGCTTTGATCGGATGCAAGGGGCAATGAAAACATTTGCTGTGGATGAGACAAGTGTCAGTGGGTAAGTAATGTTAGATTTTATTGGAGAGTATCGTGGTATCACTGACTAGTGTATCTCTCTGAAAATAATTAATTGGTGGATGTGTGGAATCTATTGTGAGAATGAATAATTGATTACTTGTGCTTATATGTGCATGAATCTTTCCATGTTTATTTGTGTTAAAAATATTGGTGGAATTGTTTTGTATTTTACAAAGTTAGATTTGCCCTCATTCGTTTTACTGCTCTTATAAGTGTTCAAAGTAAGGGAATAATACATGAAACATAGGGTACAGCTATCACGAATACTAAATTTGTGACCTATGACATTTATCACATTTCCAACTGTCTCTTGCTTGGATTTGATGCATCCATGTCATTATGTTTGATGTTGCATCTTAACCTTTTTTATTGTCCTTTTGTTTTTTGCCGCTTCCCTATTTCCTAATTATGTGATTTCAGCATATTACTTAAGCTTGTGTGTGCTGCAGGTATATATATCATCACTTATTAGGAAACGAAGTTGAGATGCAGATGGTACGCAATGCATTGCCTCGACGTTTTGGAGCACCTGGTCTTCCAGAGCTCAATGCATCTCAAGTAGGATCTTGTGCTCTTTTCACCCACTCTTCTAGTGGCTTTATTTTAAATTCCATTTTCAGCCTCAAGCTTCAATTTATATGATATTTTACAGACCGATATTTTTTATTGAACTTTGGAAAGTAAAGCAGTTTGAGGATATAATGATTTATGCGATCTTTTCTTTCAATGCAGTATTCTGAATGTTTTAATATTTACTTAATGCTACGTATTACAGTAGCATCATAGCAAAACCTCAAAACCAAAACCTCTGTTAGTATAGTTTAGTATTTGAGTAAACATCATGGGGTAGTATGTTTTGGGGATGTGCACGTCGAGAGTTATTTTTTGTTTCAGTTGGCAAATATCCTTGGCAGCAGTGTGTTCTTTCCAAACAATTTTTTTCCTTTTCAGAGCGCTGGAGAATGTTTTGGGGGAGGAGTTTGTGGGGTTGGTCTTTTATACCTCAAATTTGAACTGATTTGAAGTGAAAAAGACTATATTCAATCCTAGCCACTAATTTTTATGTTGTAGAGTGCTTGATATTGTTTAGCAATTAGCAGTAGGGTGTGCATGGCTGGTCTTATTTACATTAGCTGTGAACCGACTAAAAATGAAATATGGAGAAATGCAATATCTTTTATTGAATTTGTGTCATTCATATTGTAGGTTTTTGCTGTAAAAAGTGTCCTTCAGAAGCCCATAAGTCTGATTCAAGGTCCACCTGGCACAGGAAAGACTGTCACTTCAGCTGCTATTGTGTATCATATGGCTAAACAAGGGCAGGGGCAGGTTAATATATTGGCATGCAGTTTAACTAAAGCTTTGTGCTTTTTATTATCCTCTTCAGTGTGTTTGTTATATTCTTAATTTTCCCTCTCTTTATAGGTTTTAGTCTGTGCACCCAGTAATGTTGCTGTGGACCAACTAGCTGAGAAAATTAGTGCAACAGGTCTTAAGGTAGGCTTCTGCTTTGCATTATTAAGCGTTTCCTTTGATTTCTTTAACATAATATAATTTTATTTTAACTTCTCGCCCTAATTTGCAAATATAATATTAATTGTTGTATAGGTGGTAAGGCTTTGTGCAAAGTCTAGGGAAGCTGTCAATTCTCCTGTCGAGCATTTAACTCTTCACTATCAGGTTTGTTGTCTGCATTTGTATTCATGTATTCATTTTTTTAACTTCCTGTTTGTTCTGTATTCAACAACAACCATGTTCCCTATTCATGTACTAAAAATAGGGGAATAGGAATAGCCGAATAGGGTTCCTTATGAAATCAAATAATGGATTCAATGGATTAGAGAAGAAATAGAATACGAATAATCTTCTTTTATTTGTTAAATACTAAGATTGCATATGTTATTCCATAGTTTGGTTGGAGTGACAAGCTGAAAAAAACATAGGGAGTGTATCTATGTATGCCTCATGCACATTATGTGTACGTGCAGTATATATTACATACTCCTTACCTGCAAATATTGTCCCACTTTGACTTTCACAGACTTTAAGAAAAGTGTTGAAAAGTGTTAAGTATGTTTTTGGAATTTATGAAGAAGAATATTCTAAAGCACATGTCCTTTTCCTTAAAAGGAAACACAACCTTTATTATGGGACAAACAAAAAGGAAAGCAAGAAAATTATAGCGAGATGGAGGGAGTATATGTATAGTGTGTATGATTCACATATATGATGGTAGTATAGATGTATAGTATAATACTATATGATACTCTCCTCATCCTACAAAGCAATATGGAATTGGGTTTGACACTCTCTTTACTTTTAAAATAAGATGAAGGTAATGTTTGTAAGATTGCAAGTATACCCTTCTGAAGCAAGGAGAAAAAAAAGTTGGGCTTCGTAGAAAAATGATTGAAATGATATGTAAAATGGAAAGTTAAGATAGTTAAATACTTTGTGGCATCAAAGTAGGATGGTCAACATTACTTTGGGACAAACTAAAAATAAAAGTAGATCCTACATAGTATAGTGTTGGTAAAAGGTGGCCATTTTTTTCTTAGACAAATATGGTCAATTCTACCTTGGAAAAGGGGTGGCTTGAAATGGCTATGCCATTTGCGAAGGGGAATGAGTCATTTCTTGGAATTGAGTTCTGTTGGATCAATATTTTAACCAAACAATGGAATTGGAAAATTCCTCAGAATTCTATTTCTATTCATTTTTTCTTTTAAATCAAATGTGCAGTTATTTTTGCCTCTAGAAACCTCACCTTTTATTCACTTCCTATCTCCTGCCTCACACCTACAGGTTCGCCATCTTGATATGTCAGAAAAAAGTGAGCTTCACAAGCTGCAATTACTCAAAGATGAACAAGGTTGTATGCTTCTTTGTGAGGAATTTTTTTTGTTTGGTGGTTATGAGTATACTTTAGGCATCTTTGCCATTTATGCACTATATCTGTTAATGGATTTAATGATGTGCCTTTTGTGCTTTTTTTTATGCTTTATGTTTTTCATGTGCTTCAAAACTGTATTCTAATATCCAATGTATTGGGTCCTCTCTTCCATAATGTTTATGTTTTGGGAATTTCAGGAGAACTGTCCAGCAGTGATGAAAAGAAATATAAAATTTTGAAACGGGCAACAGAGAGAGAGATAGCTCAAAGTGCCGATGTCATTTGTTGCACCTGCGTTGGTGCTGGAGATCCTAGATTGACAAATTTTAGATTCCGTCAGGTTGAATTTCTTTTGTAGATATTGATACAAGCTATCTTATTCCTTTATTGTTGGTGTGCCCGCATACAAGAATTTTTCTGCCCTTGCTGTTATTATTATTTTTAATATGGTATTCTAAATTCTGCCCATGGGGTAGATGATAATATTTTCCATCATCTCTGGTGGAGCCAAATATTCACTATTTTTTGGCTTTGGGGTGTGATGGAGTAAAACAAAATGGATATCTAAACTGTTTGCACTTTAATTAATGAATTAGTAGTTAGTCAATCAATGTAACCTTCGACTCTGAGCCGGGGTCTCTTTGGAAACAGCCTCTCTACTTTTGACTAAGCATAGTTGTGAATGGCGATCGCTTTTTACGCTTATGGCGCTAAAGGCTTTGTGGCGACCATATTCCGCCAAGTCTTCACAGTGGCGTGGCGATTTACGTGAGGCGCGCCATTGGCGGTCGCCATGGCTGCCTGGGTGTTTGGAGAATGGTGTGCGACATCCACGCCTTGGGTGTTTGACCTAATTAATGATTGATAAACTTCTCCAGAGTCCTTCGCAGACTCTTCATCTTCAGCGCATGTGGTTCCAGACATCATCGCACTTCAGATCTCGGGCTCTCAGCGAAATTTTTTTATCAGAATTTTTTTTCCTCGGGCTACGCAACTGCGCGACGCACCAGGTCACACCCCTCTTAAGCGCAAGTCCCCAATTTTCTTCTTATATTTTTTAATTTATTTATTTTATTATGTTTTTTAACCTATATAATTTCTAATGATGATTATTATAATTTCTCAATGCAATCAACCTATATTTCTTTATTGTTTTTTATTGTGTTATATATAATTATATATATATGTGTATTTATATATAATTTTATATATATATATATATAATTATATATATGTATATTTTATTTATTTATTTATATAATGTTCGCCATTTGACCGCCCGCCGCTCGCCACGCTTCTCGCCATAAAAAATAACCTCTCGCCCGCCACTCGCCATTCCCCATTCACAACTATGCTTTTGAGTAAGGATAAGGTCTTTTGAGTAGTGGTAAGGTCTGCGTACACACACCCTCCCTAGACCCTACTCTTGTGAGATTCAACTAGGTTGTTGTTATTGTTTTGGGGTAGATGATAGAGAAAGATTTATGAGTAATCAACGCTTATTGTTTTTTGAACTTTTCATTGATATTGGCAATAAATACAAATACATTTGGCTTGCAATTATATCCATTATTAAATGATATTATGCTTTTGAGTACTATTCACTCCATTACAATGTAATATCTGTTTAAACATAACTTCTCAACCTGTTGAAGTGCATAAAGTCAACACCCCTGCTGGGGTGAGCTTCACATCTAGAATAAGGTGGTCCTCCTACCACTCAAGCCAAGGGAAGCTCAAATGACTTATTATTATTATCTCTTGAAATTATCAAATCCTTTATTAGGAACTTGAAAATTGAAGCCACATTAATTGCCCTTTGTCACGTGCCACTGCACACATTAGAAAAACCACTCATTAGTTTACTAAAACTGTTTATAGGTTCTTATTGATGAATCCACACAATCAACGGAGCCTGAATGCCTTATTCCTTTGGTTCTTGGAGCGAAGCAGGTAAGTGATTCCTTGAATCTAGCATTGTTAAATTTGTCTTTTGTGTTGAGTTCTTATATTAAGCTTTCGTGTTAGGTTGTTCTTGTTGGTGATCACTGTCAGCTTGGTCCTGTCATTATGTGCAAGAAAGCAGCTCGTGCAGGGCTTGCTCAATCACTATTTGAGCGCCTTGTGTTATTGGGAGTCAAGCCAATTAGGTTGCAGGTAACTGTGCTGATTTTTAAGGCATTTACATTCTTGATTAGTAGCCGGTGATGCTTTGGGAGTTAGTTTTTGTGTTTTCTTTCTTTGACAACATTTAAGCTCTACTGATGACATAGTAACTGTCTGTTTGTGCATTCCTTGTTGGAAAGAGGCATAACCAAAAATATGAATTTACTTAAGGTAATATTTGAGAACTAGCATTTCATTTCAGGTCTTGCATTTCAATTCCAAAATTTTAATTCTTGAATTTCAAATGACAAGGGTAGGCATCTGGATTTGTAATTGAGCTTTGATAAGAATTACAAGAATTTGCCTCAAATCCAAATCCAAAAATTTAAGATTCCCAAAAAGATTCATCATCATCTGAAACCTTGGATGCTACATTTACCATTCTTTGGACAAACATTTTTTTTTGTTTCTCCAACTCTTGAAATTGTACAACTCTTGTTAAATAGAACATTCATTGTATATTTTCAAGTGTATTAATTCTAATTACGCTAAATTAAAAATTACAAAAAGTATTCTGAAAGCAACTTTTGTCAAGTTTAGTTATATGAACCAGACAATGATTGGGGGATGAAGGGAGTATTCGGATAAGGAATCGGTTAAGTGCCTATTCTTGCATTTTTAGTTTTCTTATTGATATTATATGTTCTTTGCTATTTTTTGTATGCCTACATTGTTCTAATATAAGTAAAATATTTACCCTGTGCGCATGACATTGAATTCCAGGTACAATATAGAATGCATCCTGCCCTTTCCGAGTTCCCATCAAACAACTTTTATGAAGGAACTCTTCAAAATGGAGTTACTGTCAATGAAAGACAATCATTAGGCATTGATTTTCCTTGGCCTGTGCCAAACCGTCCTATGTTCTTCTATGTTCAGGTAGGCTGGTTTTTTTGAATTGTTTTATTAAATCAAATTTTCTTGAATTTCTGGTTTGGACTGATTTTATTTTTATGTTTCAATTAGTGACTATTACCATTACCCATTGCTCTGTTCCCCTCTGTGCCATTGATTTTCTTGATGCTAACATAATTTACTAATATCCAACTATTGCTATGTTGGCATTTCAACGCTAATATCAATAGATGGGACAAGAGGAGATCAGTTCCAGTGGTACTTCCTATTTAAATAGAACTGAGGCTGCACATGTTGAGAAGATAGTCACTACATTTTTAAAAAGTGGTGTGGTTCCTAGCCAGGTATATGAATGTTGGTATATAGTCTTCTCATTTGTGTTCTTTGTGGTCCATGTACATATTATCTCCTTTTGTAGATTGGAGTGATAACACCATATGAAGGTCAACGAGCCTATGTTGTCAATTATATGTCAAGAAATGGTTCATTACGGCAACAACTTTATAAAGAAATTGAGGTATGATATCAATATTGTTACTGTATTTGTTATTTTCTGTTCAGAGTTTTTTTAGTAAATTGAATCACCTTTTTAAACTGATTATATAGGTTGCAAGTGTAGATTCATTTCAAGGAAGAGAGAAAGATTTCATCATTCTGTCTTGCGTCAGGAGTAATGAACATCAGGTTGGTGTGTCTCTGTGTGTATACCCCGTAACATTGTTCATAATGTCCTTGTTTTCTCTTGAATGTCTTCAGACATACATATGTTCTCATTTAACGTGACAATTCAATAAATAATTTCCCCCTTTCAAATTAGGGTATTGGGTTCCTAAATGATCCAAGGAGGCTTAATGTGGCTCTCACTCGTGCTCGTTATGGTATTGTGATCTTGGGAAATCCTAAAGTTTTGAGCAGACAACCATTGTGGAATAGCCTGTTGTCGCACTTCAAGGTATTTTTATTCTTATGCACAGCTCAGCCATTCTCTGTTTTTAAAGATTTGCAATGCGCTGATGCCTTTATGATGAATGGTTGTCTAGTTGGCTACAATTTCAAAGAGAATGTAAACCAGACCAAATACATAAATGGCTTTCTTGTGGAATGGTGTTTTTTTATGGAATCATGTTTGGTAGTTCTTGATATTATAGTGATGGTAGTTTGGTAGATAATATAGCTACACTTTAATGGATTTTTGGGCAGATGGTGTTTGGTGACTGACTTTCTCGGTGAATGGTGCTAGATGGTTCATCTTAATATAGTGATGATAGTTCGGTAGATAATATAGTTATCATTTAATGGTTTTTTGAGCAAATGGTGTGTGATGGCTTATATCATTGTAGCAATGGGAGTGTGGTAGCTTGATGAATAAATTATACGAGTATAATTTAGACCTAATTCCTTTAGTTTTGTGTTTTTTTTCTTTTAATTTTTATTTGGATTAGGAGCACGAATGCTTGGTGGAAGGACCACTAAATAACTTAAAGCAAAGCATGGTTCAATTCCAGAAGCCAAAAAAGGTATCTATTACATTTTATGTGGCTTTTTAAACAAGGCTTGTGGTTCTTTGTTGGTTTGTTAGGATTTTCCCCTGCAAACTCTATTTCTGCATACATCTATGATTCTATGCATCTCCATTACTAATTAATCACAAGTTTTGACATTTTGGTTCATTTGTGACAGATTTACAATGACAGGAGGGTTTTCTTTGCTGGAGCTCCTCGAAATTCCAGCGATACTGTACCTACTTCTTCAGGTGTCAATAGTGACAAGAGAAATACTCGTTCTAGAGGTACTTTGAACCTCCAATACTCTGATTTTCTTGTGGCAAATTTGTTGTGAGGTAGTAGTTTGTAAGGCTGGTACCATCATATGATTTTGATGCAACACAGAGAAAGTTAGAAAAGCCTCTACCATGTAATGTAAACCACTGGTTTATCCATTTGTAGATCCTCAAAGCCCCAAACCCAAGAGTTCAAATCTTATAGTGAAGGAACTAAAATCTATGTTTAGCGTACATGGTTATACAATTAGAACAACAGTCTCATTTTAATGTACATCGTTCTCTTATACTGAAGTAAACCTATAGAACAAATAATTTTGATTTACATGGTGGTAGTGTTTTAGACTAGTTAAATTTCTGCTTATTGCTTATTTTAAGCTACTTATAAAATTTTGGTGTTTGATAAACCAACTTAAATTTATGCTTATTGCTTACTCCCTCCACCCAATACCCTTCTCGTTTTGATTCGTCCTGCCTTTTAATGTAAGATGAAAAATATTTGAATTTCTATTTTTACCATTGGTGGTGTAGTTAATTGAAGAAAGATGTAAAAAGATGAATACTGCAAAAGTAAGGGTAAAGTTATACTCCGTAATTTAGTTGTTAAAAGGTGAATAGTATTTCCATTTAAGGAAAGAGGAAGAAAGATATAGGACAGCCCGGAAAGGAAAACGGGGAAAAGATATTGGACAAAGGGAGTATATTATAAGCAGTTTGAATCTCATAAGACGAAAACAAGTATCTACTTGGTTATTGCTTCTGCTTATTGCTTATTTTCAGTTACCTTATATAAGTGAAAAGCAGGTACATGCCTTCTTAATGCTTTTGCTTACTGCATTTGTAAAAGCAGTTGAAACACTGTAGGTGCCTTGGGTCATTTTTAAGGTCAAAAGTTTCTCAGTCAAAAGAACCGTTGTGTTAGCAAAAAGATGTAGTTGATTAGCCAAATGAAACAAATTAGGGTTTTCTTGTCCACAAATGCTGTGAACTTTTCATAGTTATTTTTCAATTATTAATTGTATCAAATAGTCTCATTTTAATTACAAAATTTCCAGAATGTTCTTACATGTAACCAGGTGTGGATGTCTTAAAAATTTTAAAAAAGAAATTGTTCAGCATTTTAAATTAATTTCGGTCAGTTTGAAAAATTGATCAAATCGGGCAGATTTTTTAACTTCTTACAATTTGGAAGTGCCACTCTGGTGGATGCGACCGAAATTGTTATTACTTCAGAAGTTAATGAGTTCTCTATAAAGGGTATTAAGTGAGGACTGTTGTGCCAGCTAAGGGCAGTACTTCACTAGTAATTTCATTGATTAAAAAGGCTAGACATAAATTGTGAAGGAAAAAGGTTTTTATAACTTAGCTATCACATCAAGATTTTAGGCCTCGACGCCAGGTGTTGAACCTTCATAAATTTATTTGATCTGATTTTGTATTATTATATATAAAAAACACTCTATATGTGATCAGGAGCTTGACTCCATACTAACTAGAGCTGGGTTGGAAATTTTACCCTTTTGTTTTGCTATATTAGGTTACATTGCTCCTGCCATGCCCAACGGGGTTCATACACCCAGTGTCCATAATGCGTACCCAATGCCCCGTGCTCCCGTCCCACCTTACCATGGAGGTCATCTGCAGCCTTATGCCATACCTACACGTGGGGCTGTGCATGGCCCTGTTGGTACTGTTCCTCAGTCTGGTAGTCATGGGTTTGGGGGACATAACACTCCAATTGGTGGTCATCTTCCCTACCAGCAAAGTTCTCAGCAATCAATTGGAGGTCTTGGTTCTAACTTCAATTTCCCAGCATTGGATAATTCGAACATTCAACCGCTTGCAGGAGGACAGTTAACTCAGCCTGGATATGTTTCTAATGTGGGTTGATTGAGTTTTTGCTCTACTTTTTTAATTGATAGTTTTGTTCATTTGTGACTGGTTATCCCATATTCCCATCTCACATTTCAGGATAGGTTTTCAAATGTACCCTTTTTCTTAAACTTTATGTGTTTCCTTCAATCTTTTTCTTATATTTCATCAGGATTTCTTGGGGGAGGATTTTAAGAGCCAGGGATCACATGTTGCATATAGTATTTCAGAATATTCCACACAGGTAGGTCAGATGTATTCTCTACATTTCTTCACATACACTGTCGATGACATACATATATGTGGGTTCAGACAAACATCACGTGCTTGTCTTAATCTTTTAACGCTGATCGATATCGGACGGTTATGATTAAAGAAGCACCCGAGTGGTTCTATTGCTGCTTGGATCACAACTGTCCATTCAAAATTTGAGACAAGCAGCTGCTGCTTGATTTTGGACTATCAGTGAATCCCAATTTCATGTGTTGGGTCGTTGCAACTGTAAACACTTTCTGTTTTGTGAGGCTTCAGATTGCTTTTGCTTTGTAATGTCATGTAGGCTTCACAAAGTGGGTTTGGTGTTGACTATGCAACTCAAGGGGCACCCTCTGGATTGCCTGGGAACTTTGTGAGCCAGAATGCTCAAACTGGATACTCTCAATTTCCTTCTGCAAATGAATATATGTCACAGGTCTGTAAGTTATGTTCTCTAGGATCAACCTCTAGATGTTTTTTGTTTCAAAGGGTTATGCACACGAATTAAGAAGCCCTAATATATCCCTATTATATAATAGTTCAAAACATAGTGTTTTACACTTTTACCTAAACTGTCAATAATATCACCTTTAACATCAAGAAGTTAGTTTAATTGTATTCTATATTTTAAATAACAACTGATATTGTAACAGTTTTGTTTTAAAAAAGAAAGCAAAAGATGACTTAATTACCAGAAACAGGGAGAATGCTTGAAGCAGTGTTTTTCATTGAATGCGAATGTTGTGCTCCTAGATTATTTCTAAATTTGGGTTGAATTGTGAAATAGGATTATATGGCTCACGGTGCCTATGGTCTGTTTACACAAGCTGGATACAACGAGCATTCACAAGATGATGCTTCACAGAAGCATTTTGGGATGCCCAACTCCAACCCGCTTCAATCACAGGTATCTGCATTGTTCATTTTCTTGCCGATTTACTCTCGTGGTTTACTTTGTCACCTTTTTATTTTGGGTAACTAATTTTTTTAGTATGATTGCCTGATTGGTTTCCTAATTTACAGAGTGTGCCAAATCCACTTTATCCCCAGCCATATTCCCACTACAACACAACAATAAACATGCAAAATTCCCAACCTCAACAAACCTCAAGGGGTTCAAATTCACAGAACCTGAACCTTCACTACCATGGTTGAAGGTCTAGTCTCTCATCAATTCAATGGTTCATTCTTCTGTCTCCAGCAGCTCGGTTTGTGTGTTGTCCAATGTGACGATATTTATCTGCACTACTAAGATCCAGTGCAGTGTTTCCCACTATTGCAGTTGGGCTACACCCTTTTGGGGGACAAATTTAAGCATGTCAGAAGAACACATTCCAGCACATCCAATGCTCTGGGTAGAAGGAAGGCCACAGACAAACCAGGTACACTGTTTGGACTGAAGGGTTTGGGAGGAAATGGAACGGATGGATATATTTTTTCTTATTAAAAAAACCCGGAGGGGCGGGGTTATGAAGTTTTAACAAAGACAATACCTATGATAAAAGAGTGAAAAAATAATCAAAGAACTTCTAATCACAATTCTCCATTTTTTCAAATTGACCATTTAAAAAAACAACTCCTTTCCATCTATTCTTCTTTCCTCCAAATCCTTCAATCCAAAGATATTAGTGAAAGAGAAGATAAGAGAGTAGTGAAATATATGTTTGGAGGAATTATGCTGCTACAGACGAGAGAGCTGCTGCTACCCGTTATATTTTTAAAAAAAGTATATAAGCGTGCCGTCTCTCTCCCTAACATGTTCATGGATGATGGCGATATCGGTATGTATTGGCGATTGTCAAACAAACAAACACAGCCTTGCTGCTACTCTAACAATGTAGTGCATAAATGTTTGCCGTTCTGTCCTCTTTCCTTGTGGATAAAAACTTCTAAAGCCTTACGATAATTAGTACTATGATTTAAGTGCTGAATTAGAAGGCATAATGTTTTGCTCTTGCATAATGGTATGAGGGTTTTGCTTCACAATATTTTGCTCTTGCCAATACGTCCTTTTTGTTTTGCGTTGTTTGAAGGAAATAAGAACATTTTGTGCAGTCCAAGGCTTTGTTTGGAAATAGGTGAAATTAGGCAGGTAATGTATGTATTACAATAATCAATAATGTGAGTGTTGACAACAATACAAATTGCCCGAATACATTTTCTCATAAACTACAAGTAAACAACAAAAAATCAGTCGTACGAAATGCAATTTCAGCCCCATCAAGGTGACCCACAATTCAGTTTCCAACGTGCTGCACCAGCCAACCAATGTAATCTGTGGGAATTGGCGATTTGTAAACTGGTGTCATACGCCAAAGTTTGAATCTCAAATCAATTTATCTGTTACATGAATGACTTTCATGTCATCGGATATGAAAGCGTATCCTTACCCCAACCCCTTGACTCACCCCCTTTCCCTCGGCCCAACGAGGCACCGTAAGAAACTCAAAGGCGTAGTAGCCTTTGTTTGAGAAGAGTGTTTTCAATTAGGGTTATCATTTCGGATAAAATTTTAACACAGATTAACTATCTAAGCGCCAACGCTAAAGACTACCTTTAGCCTTTTCAAAATACCAACGCTAACTTCTAACGCCGATGCCAAACGTGTCCGTTGTCTAAGGAAGTGCTACCTTACAAGAAAGCATAATAGTAGTACATCTTCACTAGAAATGGTTTCCTTGTCATGCATGATGTAAGGTTACATGCACAATTCCACTTGCTTTCAACCAATCTATATATCTTTACAAGGCCAGGCGTGCCTTTTTTTTCATGGCTTTATCCACTCAAATGTGTGGTCTATTTTGCCGTGCTCTGAAAAGAAGGCACACATACAAAAATGAGTAAAATATATTGTGCATAGTTTTGATATTTTTCAAGATTTAAAGCACTTTTAATGGATAGAAAACGAAAATATTGAACTCCAACATTTAGTGGTTTAGAACATGGGAAGAGTCACATAAGTTTGGGAAAAATGAAAGGGTGTGGAAGAGTTATGCCTTTAGTCACATCACATATGACACCCGAAGATGGCGTTATGTCACTGTATCATAGATTACAATCGTCTTATAAATTGATTGTTTCTAATGATGCTATTTTTGGTGTCATCTTCGGTGTTAAAGTAAGAAATTATACTTGGTTCGGATTAAGATTCTATTTTTGTAGTGTATCTCAATTAAGGTTCTACCTATTTAAAAGAAGATTTCACTCTGCTTAATAAACATGTTGAGTTCATGTTGAGTGCAATTTTAAAACATGGGGAGTACCAAATACTATTTTTTCTTTCTCGAACAATGTCCCACATTTGACTGAATGTAATTATTAAGAAATGAAAATTTGAGTTATTGAGTGTTATGTAGACAAGAAAGCAGGGCCAGCCTTGAAAAATGAAAAAATAAAATTGACCCGGTTCAAAATCTATATTTTGGGTCTTATTTTATTTTTATAGAATATTTATGCTTTTGTAAAAATGGATTGAGGTTAAACTGGTGTCTTTCATTGATACAAAACAATATAAGTAGCCCAACTTGGTGATACACACGAGGAGTCCAATGTAACTAGCCCAATCTAACACTCCTCAAGTTGGAGCATGAATATTATAAATGCTCAACTTGGACAACAAACAATGAAATAGAGGACCAGACAACGCTTTAGTGAAGATGTCCACAGTCTGGAGACGCATAGAAACATAAGTTGTGTTAACATAATTTCTATGGATTGGATGCACTCCCAGACAATATGACAGTCAATATCAATGTGCTTTGAACGCTCATGAAAAACAGGATTAGCGGCAATGAACAAAACAGATTTGTTATCACAATATAAATGAGGAATAGCGACACAAGGAACATTTTAAGTAGCCAAGAGCCCACGCAACCACCTTATCTCGGTACATGCATTAGCCATGGGGTGCAAAAGAGAATTTGGAAATAATATCATACGATAAAGTATAATTTACCAACAAATAAGAGAGTAGTGGTGTGAACTCTTGCACAATAGGTATTCGTATAATTTTTGAAAAATTCAGAGGCAACAATTTTTTTTACTTTGATGAAAGTTATACTTCCTCCGTCGCACTCTCTTTGTCCACTTATCTTTTGGCATACCATCCAATGCACTTCTTTAATCCATTTTATCTTGCAATTTGTATATTAAAAAATTATAGAAATTATATATTAATAATCTATATGTTAAGACAAATCAAACAAGATCACACATGACTATATTTAGACTTACACATTGAGAGAATTTGATAAGTCAAAATATTTAGATGAACAGTTCCAAAAGTCAAAAGTGGACAAAGAGAGTGGGACGGAGGTAGTATATATTTTGATTCGAGTTTTTCACCAAACCAAGATTAAACTAGATTTGTTGACTAGCTAGTTGATGTCCATTTAAAATCAAATCCTAATGGGGTCAACGGTTAGGCAAAATGCCATTAAAAACATTCTCTTCCTCTTATATATATATATATTCTTCATAATTAATTACTCCACTTAAGCTTCATTAAACTCCATTAATGGCGGCTGGTCATCAGCTCTCTTCATCAGCTCCTCTACCTGTGTTAGTGATGATGAATTCCATGATAATAACAATAATAATAATGTTATTTATTTTGGTGCAAGTTCCAGGTGGAGATTGTTTTGTTCAGTCCCGAGCCACTTACTATCCTAACTCTGATGACAGAGGCATAGAAAGTAAGGGTAAATCGTGTAATTTCTGAAAAATTTAAGGATATTTGATATTTTTTCGTTCTCAAAAACACTTCCTTTTTCATTTTTTTCACTTCCAACAAAACACTTTCCCTTTCTATTAAAAGACCACTTTTAACCTTACTTTTTCATATCCTACCTATCACATCATACTTTTTCTCTAATAATAAATTCATCACATCAAGGGCAAAATTGGAAGTCAACTATAATTTTACACTTTCTTATTTTGCCTTATAGTCAAAGTAGGAAGGCTTTTTCCAAACGGAGGGAGTACATTTTTTAACGTTTAAGGATAAAACGTGCAATTTCTGAAAAAATTGGGAATAAACAGTTCACTTTTCTCTATGATTTAAACAGACGTTTTTGGTACTACGAACAAAACAATAAATGAAGATCTACTTTCTTACTTCATACCCGGAGTATTATTTTCTTAAACAAATAACCAAAAAAGACAAATATATCTACATTTGTCTTTTTGGGTTACTTGTTTAAAAAAATAATATGAAGTATATTTTGTAATCATGTTTTCTTTGGTTTTGTAAAAATTTTGAAGTGGGCTTTTAAATGTGGAGTAGTAAATTTTAAAATTCTTAACTAATTTTATATTCTCCATCCGTTTCATAAAAAATTCCACTTATTTTTTATTTTTTCTATAAAATACTTTCACTTTATATCAGAAAGTCTATTTTTTTATAAATCCTTACCAAATCTATCACATTATACTCCCTCCGTCCTAAAACTTTCTTCTCAGTTTGACTTTTCTCCATTTTTAATTTTTGGCTTTGACTTCAAATTTTACCATCCTTAAAAAAGATTTTTTGAAATTGTTTTTGCAATTGGTGTAAATACATGATGGTATTAATGTCATTTGTCATCTTTTTTTTCTAATAGAAAGTTAGTTTTAGGACGAAGAAAAAAGGGAAGTGGGAAAAAAATTTTAGGACGGAGGGGTACTTATTTACTACTCTCTGATTATCAAAACACTTCTAATTTCTCTTATTACCCCTACTTTGGAGGCAGTTGGGAGTTGTGGGTTTGGAGCGTTTGGAGCCACAATCAACGGCGGAGATGTAACGGCGGCGTCAAATCTCTACCGCGACGGCGTCGGATGCGGCGCATGCTACCAGGTGAGGTGCACCGACGCCGCGTACTGTTCCGACAAAGGAGTGACGGCCGTTATAACGGACAGCGGAGCGAGCGACCGGACGGACTTCATTTTAAGCCGCGGAGCCTTTGGCCGAATGGCTAACACAAAATGGTCCGCTCAATGTCTATTGTCACAAGGTGTTGTTGATATTCAATATCAAAGGTAACAATTCCATTTTCACTTGTGTTTAAATGACAAAAAAAATTAGACTCATTAAGTTTGATAACAAGATTTTAATGCCAAAACTTCTACTATAATGATTATTTGTAAAAATATTTGGTGACAAATTATTGGTGTCTGATCTGTTTAGTTTTAATATTTTGAAAAGATTATCTAACGATTATGTTTACCTTTAATACATGTGAATAAATAGCCATAAATTGGAGTTAAACATAGAAAAAAATTAAAATAGAAACTTCATGTTTTTAACCCCAAATAGGAATTTTTAATGCGACACCATATTGACATCTCACAATATTTTTTGTATTATATTATACGTGGACATTATTCACGTTATAATTCCTATTTTGAGAACAAAAGTATGAAATTTTACTCTTACTTTAGAACATTTTTTAGAACTTAAATGATTAACTTTTAGTTCTTTCTAGTTGTTTCCAGTTCTTCTAACTTTTCTAGTGTCCTTCAATTCATTCTAGTTTCTTCCCGTTCATCCGATTTTTTTCTAATTTTTTTCAATTTTTTCCACTTTTTTCATGCTTTCAAAGTATTCTTATTTTCATGAATCTTTTTTTATTCCCAAATAATGACTCTAAAAATAATATGTTTTTCATGTACTATTATTATTATTAGTATTATTATTATAACTGTAGTTCACAAATTATTTCAATTTTTCTATTTTTATTTTTCTCAAGTCACTATTTTGTGATTCAATTTCATTATTATTTTATGTTCTATTTTTAGTATAAATAATATGTAGTACAATTTTATTGGCAAAATTGTACTTTTTTAATTTACATGACACTAAATTATGTTCTAAAAATTATAGATATTTTATTAATGTAAATTGACATGGGAAATATATCAATATTTTGAATTAAAAAACAATAATTTTACTACTCTCTATCCCTAATTTAATGACATTTATATTATTTATGTGGTTAAATTTTATTCACTTTTTACCTATTATGAATATAATAATAATAATAAAAACAACAATAATAATTAATAAGAATAACGACAACAACAACTCTAACAATTATAATAAAAATACTATGTAAAATATACACAAATATATCATTGAAGTTTTTCCACTCTTTTCCGATCTCTTTCAGTTTATTTCAGTTTTTTCCAATTTCTTCAGATTTTTCTAGTTTTTTCCGTTTTTTTTCAAATTCTTCAAATATCCAGCTCTTTTTTTTATAGTTTTAAAGAAGAGACTCTTAATCTTTTTACCAAAGCTAAGCAACACTTTGGCGTGGGACCAAAAACACAGTCAATATATTGCCACATATCTTAACACGTCATTATTATGTGAAATAGTTGTAAGACTTTTTTTTTATTTTAAAAGCATGTCACATTTTTACTCTCAACATGTCAAAACACAGGGTTCCCTGCAGCTATCCAAACAAAAACATGATATTCAAGATACATGAGAAAAGCATCAATCCTCATTACTTGGCTTTGGCAATATGGTACCAACAAGGACTAAAGGATATTACTGCACTCCTAATATGTGAGGTATATATATATATATATATATATATATATATATGCACTTTAATTATGCTTACAAACAATGACACCTTGAGAGTTCATATGATAATATATAGGATCACAAAATATGCATGATTAATTTCATCCACCATTATAAATTAAAGTTGTACATGATGTCAATACGTGCACGTACAACTTTTATTTATTTATCTATTATATATATGTGTGTGTGTGTGTGTGTGTGTGTGTGTGTGTGTCGCGGAAGGAGGAAGAGTTAGGTCGCGTCCCTCATCTAAAACTCGCGTCTAATCGCGCGATTTTAGAAGGTGCCTATTTTCGTACAAAAAAAACCTTTAAAAAAATCCCAAAAATTAACATTCAAGTGAATTTGTAACACGCATCTCGACTCAGCCAGAGGCTTTTATCATAACAAACTCTACGAAGCTTGCACTCTGCATAGTTATTCCAATCACACTAAAATATATAACACAATCTAGAGGTCATTCGCAAAGAAGGCAATGGAATAGTATAAAAAAAGCTAACTTGATTGATTAGATAACTAGAAACTTGTTGGTTTTGCAGATTCAAAACTTCAAGTGCAAGTTGATGGATAGGGCATACGGGGCGGTGTGGGCAACCACATCTCCCCCATGCGGGGCTTTGCAAATTAGGATGCTTTTGAGTGGCAACGATGAAGATGCAGAGGAGACATGGGTAGTCGCTCTCAACAACATTCCAGAAAACTGGAAAGCAGGTGAAGAATATGATTCAGGAGTACAGATTAATTAAAGCATGAAGAACGAACACCTGGTAATCTATATATGTATGTACACTTGTATGTATATATGTCTCTCTCAATAAGATTATAGTTCAATTCACTATAAGATTATCTATTTGTGTAATGGGATTTATGAATTGTTTGTGCTTACATGGATTGATGGCAAGTTTACATTGTTGTGTTATTGATTGTTTTCTTTGTAATACGGAGTAGTTGATGGTGGAGGATATGATTGTTGTAAAGTACTCTTTGAGAATCAAAATCAACTCTATCTTGTGGGGTGGGGTGAGTGGGGGTAGGTTCATGTCAGGTCATGGTGAAAGAGTTTACTGTATGAATTAAGGGGTAGTAATTATCAATTTTTAAAATGAGATACTTGAGGGATTCAAAACAGGACGCTATGACATAGGGTCTAATGTCATGAGTACGCTCTCTTAAAATAATACCACCAAAATGGGAAAATGCCAATGTGAACTAATCACTCGTATACAATACGGAGTATTCAATATGTGTTCAATGATTTTTTTCACTTGGATCTTGTATCATGTTTAACAATAATATAAATTACGAGTATATGTTTTACATTTTTTGAAAAAAAAGAATGTGAACTATTCACTTCTTTGTTCATATGTAAATATGTAAATAAGGTATGCAAACAAGGCATTTTTAACATATGAGGTACTATTTATAGTAGGAAAAGATCTTATTATAAGAATTATTTATAGAATTTACTCAAATAGATATTGAGTCTTGCTAAATCCACCTTAATTCCGGCAAAAGCCACACTATTTGTTACAAATGTGCAAATTTACCCCTAAAAGTATAAAAAATGAAAGGAGACAATGTGTGAACGCAACTTAATGATGAACTTGTCCAATTTTTATAAATGAGGCGAATTTAACAACTATCTTTTAAAACAAGTTCCTCATTCACAACGAAAATAATGGTGCAAAACCAAAACTTAAGTATAGTTGTTAAGTGCTGCATCACCATTAAAATTTGGGTCAATTCCGAACTATAGAAGTAGTCCAATTACTCATGAAGTAAACAATTCATATGGTTCAAAACGACCCATATTTTAATGGGCGGAGCTCTTAACAACTAGACCAAAAAATGTCTTAGATCTAACTAGTGCAATATCGATCTCTTAGATATGATTAACATTTTAATTAAATTTCATTGTTTATGAACAATATTCCCTCTAAAAGATATACTTCCTTCATCTAAATTAATCTTTCTAGTTACTATTCACAATGCAAACTCATATTTTGGATATAAAAATACAGATATTCTATTTTGGTTTTTCTCTGTATTTTTTACTACTTGCTCCGTCTCATAAAATTTCTCAAATTAAAGACGAACAAAGACGCATCATAAAAATAGGTAATTTTGATATTAGACATTTTAAGGGTGCGTCTTTTTTCGTCTTTGAAAAGTTTGATAGGACGGAGGAATTAATATTTTGTGTGTTTTCTTTTTTTATGAGTAATGTAAATTTTATACGGAGTAATATATATTTTAAAATGCAAAGAATTATCTCAATTAATCTCACCTTTTCTTGTTCTTCTTAAAATAACTGTGTATGTATGAACAAAAAGAACGAAAAATGATAGAATAAGTTATTGTGTAAATTTCGGACCTGAAGAAATAGTTCAATTCTTCATGAAGTGAACAATCCATATGGTCCGAAACAACACATTTTAAATGGAGATGCAGCATTGAACATCTCCACCCTATTTTGTTTTGGAGTGTTTCGTTAATAAGAATAGATATGGTTTGATGAACATACCTTATCCCTACCCATTGAATTTGATGGAGTGGAATCCTTTTCATGAGTAGAAATTAAGAAAGAAAAAGATTAAATTAAACAATCAAGAACCCCAAAACAAAAAGAATTAAGGAAATATATAGGCAAAACCATTATATAAATATACTACGTAGTTAGATAATAGATACAGACATAAATGAAGATCTATTTTGTGTGTTTATATAGTGACTCCCCCCCCTCCCCCCCACAAAAAAAATCTTTTACATTATGTGCTTATTTGGGAATAACATTACAGATTAGCATTAAAATTTTAGACAAAATTTTAACAGGCTAGATTTACATAGAAAATGCTAAACGCTACACGAAGATAATTTTTTTAAAACGCTAATGCTAATCTTAAATATTTCCAAACAAACTCTATGTTTGTTTAGGAAATAGAATATTTTTAATTAATTTCTTTTCTTATTCTTTTATTTCCAAATTGTGTTGTTAGTATATTTCTTTTCCTCCTTTGATTAAAATTTTCTCTTGTAATCCCTTTATATGAGTATATCATTCAATATTCAATAAGACCAAGGATTATCAAATTCTACGAGGAGGGAGTAGTCATCAATTATATTTAGTTACAATTTCTTCTCTTTGCGCATGAAAGTCGTCGTTCAAGCATACTTTCCAAAGAATGAATTGGAAAAAGTCAAAAAGAGATTAAAAAAACAAATAATTGTCAAAAGAAGAAGAGAGGATTAGTAAAAAACTAAAAAATAAATGGGGAAAATCTTAGATTCTCCCAGATAAAAACAGTTCTTTTGACATAACTAAATTAATGTCGGAAGACAATTTATTTATTTTAATAATTTGCGCATGTAAAAGCTTTACACTATAATTTTTAACAGGGCCGATGTTGGGCCTACACAATATGCCCAATGCACATTCCCAAAAAATGGAGGCCCAATAGTTTTTAAACTAATAAACAACTAAAGAAATACGGAGTATGATTATAGTTCCAACTCTAACCCAAAGGGCCCAAATAATCCCATAAGCCCCAACGCATTCTTGCGAGATCCGCAACTGAGCAGGCGAGAAGCGGACGAAACGACGGTGGGCGGCAGGAGGCGACGGCGGCGCTGCTAGGAATCTAGGATCACCGCCGGCTCGGCGTTAATCCATAATTTTGGATTCGTAGCATAACCTCCGATTGCGCGATTCAATTCTCCAGGAGTCTCGGTGCGATTTCTTTGATTTTTTCCCCATCTATTTTGGAATAATTGATTGCGTTGAATGATTAATTTTATTTTCCCAGTTCGTATTTGAATTCTATTTGATCGGTATCGGTAATCGCTTAGTCGTTTACGCAATTAGGCCTTTGAATTTTGAGTGCTCATTGCTCAGGACAGTGTATTTGCTTTGTGATTGATTGCATTATTTAGGATTTTAGGGTTTATATTTCACTATGTTGCTTTGTCTTTTCATTGCTTAGTATTTCAGAATTTGCATTGTTTGGGATTCGTAGCTCACTTTGTTCTTTTGTGGGGTCTTTGGTGTTAATAGTTATCAGATAATTGTATTATTAGCTTTTCTCTAAGGCTCCGTTTAGTACACAAAATTCAAACTATGGAATTGGAATTGGGGACAACAAATCCGATTCTGCTGTTTGGTAGTGCCAAAAATGAATTGGAATTGGAGAATTTAATTCCATCCAAATCATTTCCATAGAATTTCAACTCCCAATTCAATTCCAATTTTGTCTGTGTACCAAATGGACCTTTAGTTTATTTTACTGGAATGCTTTATTAGCTTGTGTTTTTCATTGGCTAAAAAAGCTTGTGTTCATCTTCATCTTCTTTTTTTAATGAAAAGAAGTGTTTTTCATTTAAATTATTCATTTTAAACTTTACTACGATGAGATGCAATAGGACCACAATTTTTATTTTGCACAGGGTCCTTATGTATAATCCTCATTTGGTTATCTCATGATGTATTTCATTCTAGGGCTTCCATGGAAACCTAGATTTTATAGGCACTTGTTTCCTTTTTCGCCTCTGGAAACCCTTAATTCCAGAACTCGTAACTCTCAATGGCTGACGAATCTGATGAAGTCAATCCTGGAGACCCTCAATCTACAGGTATGATCTCCTCATATATGGAACAGTTTGTCTGAAACTTTCACAAAATTCATTTTTTAAAATCTTGTTCTCAGTTTTGTTAGTAATCAATTAGCAAAGTTAAAATTAGAAACTAAATCCATTTGGTTAGATGCAAATTATAGCTATTTTATTCTTGCATTGATTCGTAGAGTGCTTCAAGTGTAATTTCGAACCCAAACTATAAAATGTAAGAAACTTAAATTTTCTTGCCTGTTTCAGTGTGTAGTTTCTTTAGAAAGCCCACAAAGTCCAAAAACATCCGAAAGCGTGCTGCCACCGAAGATGAGGAGAATGAAGATTCAAACGCTGAGACTTCAGTCGTATTCAATAAGAAGAAGCCAGCAGTGGCTGACAACAAGTTACACTTTTCAACTGGACCATCAAAGCGGGACGTGACCTCGGAATCTGATGCAGATTTGAAAACCCATACTTTCCATTTTGAATCCTCAGGGGGGGTTCAGGTTCAGAACGATAATAGAGCAACAGCTACACTGGAAACAGAAACCGAGTTCTCAAAAGATGCCCGGGCAATTAGGGAGCGGGTTCTCAAGCAAGCAGAGGAGGCTTTGAAAGGGAAAGATAAGAACCCTTCTGATGAAAAATTGTACAAAGGGATACATGGATATACGGACTACAAGGCTGGTTTCCGGAGAGAGCACACAATTTCGAGTGAGAAGGCTGGTGGATCACACGGTCCTCTTAGAGCTTCTGCTTACATTCGAGTTTCAGCAAGGTTTGACTATCAGCCAGACATATGCAAGGATTATAAAGAAACAGGGTATTGTGGTTATGGAGATTCATGCAAGTTCATGCATGATCGTGGGGATTACAAGCCAGGATGGCAGCTGGAGAAAGAGTGGGAGGAAGCAGAGAAAGCCAAGAAACGAAGAATGGAGATGGGAATGGTTGATGACGAAGACGAAGGTGCGGAGCAGAGTGATGAGGGGGAAGATGATGATTCATTGCCCTTTGCATGCTTCATCTGTAGAAAACCGTTTGTCGACCCCATTGTGACAAAGTGCAAGCACTACTTCTGCGAACATTGTGCATTAAAGGTACACCCTCTTCTTCGTTTTTTGCGCTTTGTAGGTTTTCTTTCTTTTTTTTGTTTCAGCATACTATCGTTAGTCGATGTGAGTTTGAGATGATTAATCCATTCTTTTTCTCGTGTTTCTCAGCATCATGCGAAAAACAAGAAGTGCTTCGTATGCAACGAGCCTACTCTTGGGATATTCAACACTGCATTCGATATACGCAAGAAGACGGCTGCTGCCGGAGGAAAATGATCCCCTCTTTCTGTTCACTGCATCTCACAAGAGAGTAACCTTTTTTTATAAAAAAAACTTTGTAATGATAGTATTGTATCATCATATTCCAGCTTTCTAGTTCTTAAAATATACTGGCTTAGGTCATGTGCAATATATCCATTTATGGTTTTTTTCCCCTTCCTTTTGGCAAAATCTATCTACACAATTTAGGCTCAATATACAAATTATTTATTTCAATATATCCACATTTATCTCCCTTCTTAAGAAATTTAAGTTGTCCAAACCGAACAAGAATCCAAACATACTTTTTCATTTCATCTGCATTGCTTAACCCTTGGTGTAACTAGGCTGTCTGGCCAATTGACCGATTTTCGATTCGAATTCCTTTTTTTTGCTAACAGAAACTCAAGCTAAAACCTTCCGGCCATATTGTAAAAGTCTTTTTAAAATGAGCTTTTGGTTCATTTATAAGAGATTTTGTAATGGAGTCCAATCTAATTCTAACAAGAATAAATTGAAAGAAACATCTTATAAATCAGTCTAATGTGAACATTCATTATTTTTAGAGAGACAATATATCTATTCAAATAAACTATCCTAACCTATTGAAGAACAAAGAGTCAACACCGACTCCACTGTGATTGAACTCGTGGCCTCTCATTTGGGAGAGATGCGGCAATGCTGCTGGATAACAAAGTCTTTGGCCCTTATCCCGTGTCCCAATAAAGTTTTCTTGGACTATTCATGGTCAAAATCGTAAAACTTTGATCACAAAATTTGGAAGGAATATATTTTCTCCATTCTAAATTAGTTCACTCATTACGGATTAGGATGACTTACTGAGGTAAAATAAGCAAAATGCACAGGAAATAAGTATTGACCGGGAGGACTATAGCTGAAACATCTGTAGTCCAATTGTTATTGAATGTAGGCAAGTGTACAAGGGAAAAGTATACAAGAATTTTCTAGTAAGAGAATTCGTATCACCTCCTTTGGGAATTATATACAAGGCGTTGTTTGCCACTGTTCATCCATGTGAGAAAGTGACTCTGTTTTGTCTTGTATTGTCTTGTCTTCTTCCTTGATTGATGTCTTACTATGCTTTGTCTTGTAGCGTTTGGACACGCTAGCCTGTACGAAGGATCCGATTCTCTCCAAACGCTATCTTCCAAAATATGCCGTTTTGAAGAATTGGACGATCCCTGACAGTTTACCCGGGTGATCTTTCCCGATAAATCGCCCGAGTGGTTTCTAAGTTTTACACTTGGCTGTGTCTTGCTTGCCGATTGGTCAAGTAACCATGTTTCACACGGGTGACTAGACCCATCCAGCCGGATTCTTAATTGCTTGTTTCGGCAAGCCCTTGGGATTGTTACGATTAACCTGGAATGTGTCCAGGGTGAGAATACACCCATCAAATACTGATAAAGATTTTCAAAATAAAATATACACCATATAAATTAATAAAATGGATTCCTATATTGAAAAAATATATATTCTTAAATAAAACAAAGAAAGGTTGTGCATTATTCTATGTAGGAAAAAAACACAATGCAAGTGCCACATAAAATTGTTTTTGTTATGGTGGTGCGTTAAAGCAAGTGTAACCTTAGATGGATGGCCTCATGGTTTGTAATTTGTATGATTTAATACTTATTTTGGTTTCTCTAAATTTACTCATGATTCAATTTAATCTCAATAAGTTCATTTGAGTCAATTAGTTCTTATATACCCCGGAGTATAGAAAATGTGAATCAAGTTAATCTTTCGAACACAATTTATCTCCTAAAATTCTAAGTTATCACGTTAATTGACACAATAGGAATGACCACATGTATTAATTTTTGTATCAATTAACGTGTTAACTTATAATTTTAGAATATAAATTTTACATAAAAAACTAATTTGATTCATATGTTCTAGTTACAAGGACTAATTTGACTAAACTAAATTTACACGAATCAAATTGACTTGTGAATACACTTACAAAGACTAAAACGAGTATTGAGACGATTATTGTGACACAATGAATATCGTCTATGAAATGGGTACTACAAATTCTATTGTTTGGACTTTGGAGATGTTTGAACCACACCCTTTGTACACAACCTTGCGAATACAGAAACTTACAGTTAATCCGAAACAAAGCAGTGGAATCTTTGTTCCATAGAGGAGATTTCTTCTTGCGCCCCCGCAGCTTTGGGCAATTCTTGGGTGCCGGTAAGCCCTAACCCAATCTCTTATCTCTGATTCTGATATGTGCACGCAAATGTAGTTCCACAATCCTCCCTGTAATCTGGAGTGTATTTCATCCTAGGGCTTCCATGGAACCCAAGATTTTGTCATGTCCACCAAAAATCACGCCATGTTTCGGCGCTTTCCCTGTGTTCCTATCATATAAATCCTCACTACTCCAAAAACCCAAGCCTCAATTCGCTTGTTCCCAGCTCTCAGTTAGTGGACACCACCTGGAGAAGACTTATTTTCTTGGCAAAAGTTTGGATTTTGGTGTAAAGATTGAATCTTTGGGGAATTTGAGGAAACCCCGTTTGCCGGTTTCTCCCATCAGTGCTGCTGTGAAAAGGAGGAAAGAGATGCCATTCGACAATGTGATTCAGAGGGATAAGAAGCTCAAGCTTGTTTTGACTATCAGGAAGCTTCTGATGAGCCAGCCCGACAAAATCATGTCGCTTCGTCAGTTAGGAAGGTTCAGAAGAGCACTGGGTCTCCAGAAAAAGAGAAGAGTCATTGTTCTGCTGAAAAACTTTCCTGCTGTTTTTAAGATAGTAGAAGAAGGTGCTTATTCTCTGAAATTTACTTTGACTCCGGAGGCCGAGAGACTCTACTTGGAGGAATTGCAGGCTAAGAATGAGATGGAGGGCTTGTTGGTTATCAAGCTGAGGAAACTGCTAATGATGTCTCTCGACAAGCGGATTCTATTGGAGAAGATTGCACATTTGAGGACTGATTTGGGGCTTCCTTTAGAATTCCGCGACACCATTTGCCTCAGATACCCACAGTATTTCAAGGTGCTCGCAACAGAGCGCGGCCCGGCTTTGGAGTTGACTCATTGGGACCCACAATTCGCTGTCTCCGTGGCCGAGCGCGACGAGGAAGAGAACAAGAAACGTGAATGGGAAGAGAGAGATTTGATCATCGATAGAGAACCGAGGTTCAACAGGGTGAAGCTACCAAAGGGTCTTAACCTCTCAAAGAGCGAAATGAGAAGAATGTGTCAGTTCAGAGACATGCCTTACATCTCTCCCTACTCTGACTTCTCCATGTTAAGGCGTGGCTCCCGTGAGAAAGAGAAACACGCCTGCGGCGTCGTGCATGAGATCTTGAGCCTCACGGTGGAGAAAAGAACTCTTGTTGACCACCTGACACATTTCAGAGACGAGTTTAGATTCTCTCAGCAGCTGAGAGGGATGTTGATAAGACACCCCAATATGTTCTATGTCTCCTTGAAAGGCTCTAGGGACTCCGTTTTCCTCCGTGAAGCTTATCACAATTCTGAACTGATAGAGAAAGACAGGTTATTGCTCATCAAGGAGAAGATGCGTTCTCTTGTCTCTGTTGAACGGCGTACATGGAAAAACATTAAAACTTCTGATGCCGATTACAATAATAAACTAGGACGGGGAGGAGAAGGAGAGGAGAAGCCAGGCATTGATAAACTAATTAGAGATGATGGATTTGATGAAGAAGAGGATGAAGATGGAGATTTTGAAGATGAGTGGAGCGATGATGGGGGCGATGATTTACCACCCGACTTCAACGATGACGATGATGATGATGATGAATATATGAATGTGGAAAATGTGAAACCAAGAAGAAAGGTTGATGACCCGAAGGAGAAGGACGAGGGGGTCCTAATACCCGTTTTCCCAGATGGTCGCCCGAGAGAACGCTGGTGAGAACATGTGGGAAACTTGGTATCTTTTTCTTCCTACTCCAACATGGGAAAGAGACAGAATTACTGCTTGGAGACCTTTGGGAGATGGTAAGAAAAGTACATTTTTCTCTGGTAGTGAAGACAGTTGAGCTTTATATAGAGCTTTTTTGTAGCTTTTTGGGAGCTGCTGGCTGGCTGGCTTGACATTGGGAACTGAATTGCTGCTTTGGTTGCTGGGAGCTATGGGAGGGCAGTTTGGGAACTAAGGATTAACTAGGATGACTCTTCTGAGCACCAAGATTGGCATTCCTTTTAATTACTTGGTCTTTATTTTTCCTTCATTTGGGGTTCTGCTTTAGACAATACAAATATCAGATAGCAGTGGTTGCAGCTTTTAACATTTTGTTTGGTTCAAGGAATTTGAAGGGAAAATAAAAGAAAATGGGAGAAGAAAATGCACTAAAAACAAAGAAAACGATTTTCCTTTCGTTTTCGTGAGGAAAATGAGGGAAAATCCTCATCTTTTTTTTCTTTCTTTCCCTTCGAATTCCATGAAATAAACACAATGTAAGCCTAACTTCTTCAACACTGTCAAGGGTTGTAATTTTTTTTTGAACATTATTAACTCTATTATAATGCACTATCTCTTCATACATTCTCGATCCAGTAAGCACGTAGCGTTATTACCCCCACAGCCCATCGAACTTGTGACCTTTCATATGAGAGTCACTATCATGTCGTCGGACCACAAGATCTTTGACAAGGGATGTAATATACAGAGTATTAGTTACTCTTCTTCAATACAATTTTCACCACTTTTGCCAAAAGAGCATTATTTGTGTTAAGGGTTTTATTTTAACCAAACTATAAAAAAATACACAACAAATTTATTATTCAATTAAAAACATGTTAAAAAATGTTAAAGAATATACAACGGTTTTATGATATAAGCGTTGAGTACAAATGATTTGAAGTTCTGTACTCGTATTAATAAATCATTTGCCCCTCTATTTCTAAGATAAGATCTACGTACACACATATTCTTTATTGGGTTGTTGTTGTATTAATACATAATTACTCCTTTTGTCCCTTTTTAATCATCACAATTTCTTTTTTGGTTGTTCCTTATTCATTTTTTCATTTTTATATTTCTTTTTTCGGATGTCTCTAATTAATTTTTCTAATTTTATAAAGAGAATTTTTTGGGAACACAATATCATCTCCATCCATTGTAGAAATTTCAAACATACAATCTTACCGTTTTAAACTTCATGCAAAAAAAAATTCAATAATAAGATCAAATAGAATCAAGCAGAAATATACATTTTTTCTCTATTTTTCAAAAAAATAGAGTATTTATTTTTCAAAAAAATGAATCAAGCAGAAATATACATTTTTTAGATTGTCCGGGAAACTAAAAAAATTAATTCAAATATCTTCAAAATTACTCTCTTTGTCCCAAATTAAATTGTTTATTTACCATTCAAAAGGTCAAGTTCTATTCACATTCTTTCTCTATTTTCGTTAGTCATTTCATAAAATGATATAGTCATGTCTCCAATACTTTTGTAGATCTTTTGATGTAGTTTTTAAATATATAATTTAAAAAATGATATAGTCATGTCTCCAATACTTTTGTAGATCTTTTGATGTAGTTTTTAAATATATAATTTTTATTTTTAAATTTTACATCATTTTTCATATAAAATGATTTGACAATGACATCAGTCAAACATCGTAAATCGAAACAAGAAGTGAGTTCTAAGGGATAGATCTGGTGGGCGTTGCCCGGGTTCTATTTCTGGTAACCCGCGCAAGAAGAAAACTATGTTAAGCATAGAGTACTAAGTGAAGGCTTTATTAGTTGCCATTAAAATTCAATTAATCTTTTCTAAGCTCATACAAATTCATTAAGGCAATAATTCACAAACAAAATTAAAATACTTAAATTTATATTCTCGCTGCCAGTCTCACTGATCGTCTGTGAACCCAACCAGCAAGCACCATGGGGATTCTGTCATGGTTTAGAGGTGGCGATAAACCAAATGCTTCTTCCTCCTCATCGGATTCCGCCGCCAAGTCCGCCGCGAACTCAAACCCCAATCCGAAGTCCCAACCATCTTCCCAGAAGCAGCAGCAGGAGGTCCCAGGCATGAACGGGGCGGTGGAAGTTTCCAGGCCCCTCCCTCCGCCGAACGTCACCATTTTCGAATTCGGATCCGTCGCCGCTTCTGCCGACAAGGTAACCGTCGCCGGTTACTGCCCGGTCTCCGAGGAGCTGGAGCCCTGCCGCTGGGAGATTCTTCCGGCCAGCGCCTCCGATGCCCCCCAGTTTCGCGTCGTCTTTTGATGTCAAAATGGTTTAATTTCCGGTGGGGAATTCTCGTGAGTTCCCAAAATCCATCTCTTGCTATCTGTATACTTTTATCGAACTTGCTACATTGCAATTATTGAAAAAAATCAGAAACCCTAATCTTGTTGTTAATTTTTCTTTGCTTTTAGCTTCTGGGGCATTTCTTGATTTTTTTTTCAAATTTTAATGTTGCTGAATGTATATGATATATGCCAAATAAAAAGTGTAACATGATAATTTTATATCCAACACAAATGAGCAATCTTTGGAAAGAAAATGCACAACCCTCATATTCAAATCAATATTCTTTAGGAGAAAAATTAGCATAATAAATAATTAAACACCAAAAGACTAAAGTAAAAAAGCGTTCTTTAGAGAAACGGTGCATATTTGTGTGATATAATTTGCCATACATGTGATAGCTTAGTTTGTAATGTCGGTTTAAGAACAATGATGAAGTGAATAATTTTTGTTTGATTTTTATATATTTTTATTTTTGTTGGTATAGGGATTTATAACGAGTTAATTAGAACTCGCTATAGTTGTTGGTTAGGACCTTGAAAATATGGATGGGTGATTGGTTCTAATGGATGTGGTTTCGGATAAGGTTTATTGCCTCCACCAACGACATAATCGTACATTAAGAGAACTTAACTTGGGCAAGAAGACCGTTAGCCTATATATATTCATGCATTTCCATTCATTTGTTTAAGTGATACAGGCACACTCGGATTAACCTTAGCCGAAACACCCACTTCCAACCAATAGGCCGCTTTCGAGCAGGTTACTGAACAAGGTTCCAAGTACCATTGTGTTCCAAGACTTTCGTCCCCTCTATCATGGTGTTTTGCCACTCTGAATGAGACTGCCTTTTGATCATTCTTTGAAAGGGATACAGAACCTAGAAGAAATGGGAAGGGATCCTATCAGACACAAGCGGAAATATGATAGGTACATGATTGCTTACCTTTGTGTAGGGCAATAGGAAGGTCATTAGTAGGATCGTGATCCAAGCACAAGGTACTCGGCTCCCTACACCCTACTTTTTTGTGGGATATGTTGTTGAGCAAAACAGAATGATGGGCATATCGAACAAAGAAAGTACAACCTAACATCTTTGGTGCGACGGGAAATATGGGGTTTTCAAGGAAGATTTTATGATACCGGAGTCTAATCACCTAGGACACTAAATGGTAGGCGATTGATCAGAAAACATGACTTGGAAACTGCATTGGTATAGGAAGACTTGGACACTTTTGACTGAAACAAACAAGCAAGAGTGCCCAAGCAGTTTCAAGGAGATTTCTATTCTTTTGTTCAACCATTCCTTTCATTCTCTTCCAAATCATATTATTTTGCTAACACGAGTGTGAGCCATGAATATCTTTGCTGGTGTCGATACCCGTAAAGGTTTTGCCAAGCTTGTGTTGTTTTTGACTTGCTATTACGGTCATTCCTCTGTGTTAACGATGCAATCTATTTATCACTCAATTGGCTTTCCTTTGTAAAGATCCTGCAACATGACCTTTTTTTGAGTCCTTTTCGAATAATTTTCCGTATCTTCTTAAAGGAGAAACCGTGTTCATATTGATTCTTTTGTTTTTAAATGAATGTGAACATCACAATTTCATGTTTATTAGTCTTCATGCGTCGGGATAAAAGATAAGATAGGGATATAGTATATGTTCTTTCATCGTCAGTTTCATCTGCAATCCATCTTTTTTTGCACTTGTTTTGTGCTACTTATTAGATACATGTGGTTTTAATTTTTTCTTTACATGGTGCTTAATTATAAGTCCATTTGTTGCAATAATGTAGATATTTGCATGTGTAATGTGTTTCTAAATACATATGTTAAATATTTATATTAAAAAAAGTGAAAATATGGGTAATGGTCAATGAGACCTCAAGTTAATTTCAATCAATGAGAATACATGTGAAGGTCAAGGGAACTGCTGCAACTCATTAATATTAATATTCACCCCCCAAGTTCATTGAACCAGTAGACATAGTCACATTGGCCAATGAATCTTGTAAAAAAAACCATTGGTTTTCAATGGTTAAAGAATTTTCCATATATAGTAATGAAGGATCACATGGGCATACATAACTCTTTTAACTCTCTAAGTTTTGTTTGGGTGGATTCCATCTCGTACAAGTTATTCTATATGTTTGAAAATTTTCTTTCTACTCGTATTTGGTTTTTTTGGGATGGTTCATGTGACATTAGTCCCCAATATCATATAATGATTTGGGACTCTTACGATTTTCTGTTTAAAAAATTGATGATTCTTACCATCTTTTAAAACACATAGTTTTGGGCTCTCTCTCACTTTCACCAACGTATAAAATTTCATCACTTTCAAAGTTATTTTAATTACAAACTTGTATAGTGATGGGAAATAATACGTGGCTCGGCCCACATTTTCCAATTATTTACGAAGAACAGTTAAACCGGGTCTGCTTAATAAAATAGAGGAATAAGAGAATATTCTTCTGTAGATGCTCTCACCCTCTCCTATAAAAGGGAGGGTTGCCCTAATTGTTGAGGGAGGCAAAAAATCACACTCTCCCCTGCCATTTACTATTTCTCTCTCTAGATAGCATATTCTTCTTCTTCTTCAAGAGCTTCTAGCTCCACCATTAATGGCTTCTAAGCCTAAATCATGTACCGTGTACACACCCCCGATATTAATAAAAATCCCCCGTTGGCAAGGTACCGCCAAAAAAGGCCCATGGTTTTCTCCCGATTTGGGTTTCCACGTCAAAATTCACGTGTTTATAGTTTGGTGTATTTTTAGACTAGTTTATCGTTTTTGCCGGGCTAAAACGATATACCGGTCGATAATTTACACCATCATATAGAAATAAAAAATTATAAAATACATATTTAAAATCACATCAAAAGTTCCGACAATAATACTCATTACTGTATATTACTTCCTCTGTCCCAAAAATACATTCTCTGGCTGAAAACAAGATCGTGCTTTAAAAATGTACGATTTAGGTGTTATTTTCTAATTTTAATTTTTCTATCCAACAAATCATTTCATACCCTAATACGTATAAAGTAAGCATAAAATTATAAAATTACACCAAGATTATACATTTTTAACAGATATTACAATTATAAAAGAGTTATTAGTGTTAAAAAAAGAAATAAACATTTTCTATTTTAGAACTAAATATTATACACATACATTATTTTCTATTTTACAAATTAAAAAAAATAAATAAATTTAAATAAATTTAAAGAATTAAACTTATACCAATATAAGACGTCATCCATTTTTATTTTTTCAAAATATGAGTGTTTGGTACCATGTAATAACATGATTTAGCATTGTATATTAGTGAAAGATAAAATGAATTGTATAAGAGTTGAACTTTTGTGGCCTTACAGTTAACAAATCTCTTTCATATTATGTATAGGCTTACAAGTGGATCTTTTTTTCCAAAAAGACAATTCTTTTATTGTATTTTTATTTGGCTAACTAAACGTCTAAGGATTCATTCCGTGTGACTTATTTCTTTTGCTTATTACTTAATTTTATTAAAATCATGTTATATCTAATCAGATAAGATCATATCTAATCAAATCAGATCATATCTAATCAGATTAGATCAGGATTAATAATAGTATTATTATTATTATTATTATTATTATTATTATTAGTTTTTTTCAAGAATTAAATAATAATTACTATTCAATTAAATCACATTGCTTTGTTTAAAGCTACACACACCTAAATATTAATTAATATTATAATTTTAAATATGCTTATTATTATTGTTATGTTTATTATTACTATTACTCCATATTATTATAGGACAGATGAAGTGATATTATTATATTTATTATTATTATTATTACGGAGTATTATTATTATTATTATTATTATTATTATTATTATTATTATTATTATATCAACTACAAACCAAACGAATACAGTGCAACATAATATATCAAACGGGATTTGGGATTCAATTAGTAGAGGCGAAGGGAATATTCGTATTAAAGATTTTATGTGATGTGGAATTTGTAACTTGCAATATATTACTATGTAATATGCATAAAGAGTATAAAAATTTTGTAGAATAACATCCTTATTTTCTAATACTTAGTTATTTTAATACCAAGTAATAGTACATTCTCCATACTATATAAGGCCAAATAGTTTCGGTGCCCCTGTGGTTTGAAAAATTGGCACCAATACCCCTTCTATTTTGAAAACTTACTTCTAAAGTCTCCGTGCTTTCAAAACGTTGCACCCACACCCCTCTGATCATTTTCTGGCCATTTTTCGGCGAAGAGGGGGCATTTGCGCATAATTTTTAAACCATAGGAGGCATTCGTGCTCATTTTTTATTTTTCATTTATTATTTGTGTTTTCCTTTTTTTAAATATTTTCTATCTCTTTTTCCTTTTCCTGGATTTTTTTCTAATTATTTTCAATTTTTTATAATATTTTAAAATTTTTTGTGTTTGAGATAAAAATAAAAAAATTAACATACATTACATCTATTTGAAATTAAACATTTTCACTTTTTGTTACGCACTTGTTTGGAAAGTTCAAAAAGAAAAACCTAGAATAAAAAAATAAAAATATGGAAAAATAAAATGAAAAATAAAAATACACAAAAAAAGTCTGATACAAAAAAATGGACAAGCCTAAAAAAGTCCTTAGAATTGAGATGTTCGAAAAAGATATTCATTTTTATTTTTGTATTATTTTTTTTTTTATTTTATTCCTCATTTTTTTGAAATTCTCAAAAAAAAGTTTACTTTTTTCAGAAAAAACAAAAATTGTTGATTTGAGACGTACATATATATATATTACTCCGTATGTTAATTTTTTCAAACAAAAATAACTTTAAATTTTATGAACATTATAAAAATAATTTAAAAAAAACCTTTATTAAAATATGAAACAAATAAAGGAAAATGGAAAAAAACAAAAAAATAAGTGAGAAATAAATATCAGCACTGATACCCCCTGTGGTTTAGTAAATATGCACCAATGCCCCATTCTTCGTCGGAAAAGTGGCCGGAAAATGATCAGAGGGGGCACGGGTGCAGCATTTTGAAACCACAAGGACTTTAGAAATAAGTTTTGAAAAGAGGGGGTTTTGGTACCTATTTTGCAAAGCACAGGGGTACTGA